CATAAAGTAATTGTCTAAACAAACCTCCCCGTGCACAAAAAGCAATGTGAATCGCTTTTCTCTCAGCAAGTGGAGGTGTGTAAACGGAGTGTCCGATACACACACACACATTTGCATTAACAAGCGAACTAACAAATTAGTGTCAGTTATGTAAATCTTTTTTAAAAATAAATCTTAATTTACACATACGCACAGTATTTCCAAATAAATGCCACAAATCATGTGTGAATCATTGCAAGTCACTAATTTCTATTCACCACGTAAACCTCATTTTTCATGCAGTGACTTCTCATAGCGAATTTACTAACAATCCACGTCAGACATGATGACTGGTGTGGTTGAGAGTAATAATTTGTTAGCGGTCGGTGAAGATTTAACTGTAATTTTGGTGAGGGGAGCCCAGTAGAAGGAGAAGCAGGTAAATTTGGCTTTGGTAAAAGAAATGCAGAAGGAGAGAGGTGAATTGACTGGTGCTTGTTTAATGGGTTTTGAGTGGTAACTACATGGATTGAAAAAGGAGAATCCTGCCTGGTAACATACTACAGTGGAAAAAGTAAAGCCTGTGTAGACTGTACTTTGATAAGAAGAGAACATATGAAAATGGTTAAAAATATAAAGTAAATATGTAGCAGAACAACATACATTATTAATAGCTGGAATCCGACTGCAACCTGAGGAAAGAAGATGAAATTGAGGAAGAAATTGCATTGGTGGCTATGTAAGGGAGGGGAGAAAGGAAAAGTTTTACCAAAAAGTCAGTGAAGGCTTTCATGCATTGCCAACGGCAGTGAGTAAGTGGGGGAAGAACAGAGGAATTTTTAATGGAGATAATATGTGGCAGAATGAGTAGAAAGATGGCATGCTTTTGGAGAACAAGGTGGTGATAGAATGTGATGTACCAGAGAAGTTAAAAAGAATAAAAGTATTATTCAAAAAGTTTGAGGAAGCAGGTTTTGATAATGAAACAATCAAAAATTCAAACAGGAAAAAAAGGAAGTTGCTAAGGCATGATTGGAGGCTGAAGAGGAATTTGTACAGAAAGCTGGAGGAAGATGATGGCAGGAAGTTGGGTTTTGGGTTGGCAAAAAAGAAACAATGAAGCACAACAGATGAAGAAATCAGTGACTTAGTCTAAAGAGTTAATAGAGGTATGGAAAACATATTTTCAAAGGTTGTTAAATGAGAAGAAAGATTTGCGAGCACAAACACTGTCAGCAATTATGGGGATGTTTCAAAAGACATCAATCTCTGTACATGAAGTAGAGCAGCACTGAATAAGATGAAGAATGGTAAAGCAGATGTGAGGATGACATAATTGTTGATATGAGCAAGGTAGTTGGAAGTACTGCAGTAAAGAGCTTTCACAGATTACTGTGTGTTTACTGTGATCAAGTAAGGATACCAGACTGGAGAACAGGATTGATTGTGGCTCTTTAGAAGAGTAAGGGTGATGTAAATGATACCAATGCCTATTGGGGCATCACTTTGTTAAGTCAACCCTCAAATTCCTTGAGAGAGTTTTGGAGGCAAGTTTGAGGGGTAAGGTGGAGGAAAATGCAGGAGAGGAGCAACATGTTTTTTGGAAGGGAAGGATATTTGCAATGAGACAGAAGTGTGAAAGAATGACAAAGGGAGGGTGTAATTGCTGTGTTGCATTTATTGATCTTGAGAAAGCCTATGCCTTGGTTCTGCAGGAGTTGGTATTTGGAGCATTGAGATGGATGGCAGGGGGACTTCAAGAAGTGGAGATAATAAGGAGTTGTATTGAGGGTCAGGAAATGTGGTGTATAGCACTTGGAATTTTGAAGCATTTTGAGGTGATGGTGGGATTGAGACATGGCAGTGTGCTGAGTCCACTTAACTTCATCCTAGTTATGGAGACAACTAGTAGGAGAACCGAGCCTGTGGAGAGACAGAAAAAACTAATGCATGTTGACAATCTAACCCTTTTTGCGGACGGCAAAGAGGAATTGATAAATTGGTATCAAAGTGGGCATCTGTGTTTGAAGATCATACTCTGAAGGTAAACACAAAGAAAACTGAAGAAGTGGAAGAAGAGCTATTGATGGAAGTTTCAGGAGAGAAGCTGAATCATAAGAAAGAATTAGTGTACTTGGGAAGTACACTTCGTGCCATCAGAGGGAGATCTGGAGAACTGAAAATAAGCACCCAGTCTGCGTGGGAGGCAGTGAAAAAGGTGGTAGGAATACTGCAGGACTGGCAATTAAGTAACAAACTGAAAGAAAAGATATATCCTGCATGTGTTTGTCCCTGCCTGCTCTATGGTTTGGAAACAGTGGGCCTTATGGAGTTGGAAGAAAAGAAGATACAGGTAGTAGAAAATAATATACTGAGGAGAATGGCAGGCAAGTGGAGGGTAGAGCATGTGCCAGGGAGAAATTAGGGGATAGATGGACTTGGAACTCTACGCGATAGGCCAAGAGCGCACATCTGAGGTGGGCTGGGTGTGATAAGATTGGGAGAAGAATGACCAGCAAAGAAAACATAGGAGGAAGAGGGCTACAAGAAAGGACATGGAAGACCGAAGGTTCGATGGAAAGACTGTCGAGAGAAAAGGACTGGAACTCCAAGACCTATGAACCTGTGCCATGGACTGGAAAGCGTGGTGAAGAATCATGGGAACCTGCGACCCTGGGTCAACCGGGAAGAGGAGTCGAGAAGAGAAGTGAATCAGGGTCTGATAAGGAAATCTGAAACCAACTCATGGTGTTAGTTTGTCTGTTTGTTCTTTGAATCCAACTATTTTAAAAAAGTTATTTAGACCTAAAGCCTCACTTACCTCTTTGACATCAGCGTTGACTAATCATTGGCTTCAATATGCGTTAGCAGCTAGGAAATCTTTTTTTATATCTTTCTTCTTTGCACTGTGTTGAATGGTTGCAGCATCACTACATCATAGCCTGAGAAGTAATATCCCTCCTTCTCTTCTTTTTCATTTGATGGCTTCCTCTGCTGCTTGGTCCGCCTCAGTGCTGACCCCTAGCATGTGGTGGTTCATTAACATTGTTTTAAATTAGTCAGTACTCTTTTAGTGGACTCCAGCTGACTCACTGCCCTCCAGGGTGCAATGAAAAGACTTAATTACCCTTGTGCTGTTCAACAAGAACAATGTTGTGGGGAGGATTTCTCTTCAAATATTAGGATGACTACAGAAGGCCAGTGCAGACATCCACCAAAAGGAGTAAGGAAAGAAGTAAAAGTGGCAAATATCACATGGGTAGAGGGGAAAAAAGTGGAAGGCATTACGACAGAAGTCCAAATCAGCCCCTAATTCCACACCCTGAAGATCTCCCATCCCTGGCCGTATATGCTTTTTGCAGTGTTGATAGAGGGATGTTGCTGCTGCATGTATTTGAAATATTGCATCATGCTGAAACATTGTGCAGTGAGGCAACATTGTGATGTACTGTATGAGACAGAAAATGTAGATTTGGTGGTGGACTTCCAGACTGGCCAGGAGAAAGTTTTTTAAAAACATTGGATAATCACAGTTTTAAAGATTTTTCCCCCTTTTTAAAATGTATGTTAATTACTTAATTTTAATTTATATTATTAATTTTATTGTTAATAGATTGTAGTCTCTTTGGGAGCAAGGAGCATGCATGGACACTACTTAACACAAGGGCATCCCAGACCCCAAGTTTTGAAAAGGAAAATATTTATATCTTTATCTTTATATTTATATGTATGTTAGCTCACTTTTACACTTGAGTAGTCCTGTGGCCCAGGGGAACGGAAAGATTGTCCAGTGGTTAGAGTGATAGCTGGATACCCGTGTTCAATTCCCTGTTCAGCACAGATGCCCCACATGACACTTCTGTGTCTCAGCTGGAAAATGATAAGAGTATTTCCCTGCCTTGCAGGATAAAGATTTTGAGGCACTCAGATTCTATGATAATGGGAGTTGTATGAGTTCCTTAGACAGCTAGATAAGCATTTGCAGGGTCAGATTTGTAATTTAGTTTAAAAATGAATTCATGGCCTAAACCGCTTGCCAGTATCTCTTTAAAATAAAAGGACTATATATGTGTTCCTTAAATAGTTTGTATATACCTGGAAAAAATCATAAACGTAAAATCAACTTTAAAAAGTGATAAATAATAACACATGAACCAAATAATGTTAAATAAGATATGTGGGAAAAAAATACTGTATTTTTACCTCTGGTTATTTAACTGAGTTTGATGTATTCAGTAATTATATTGCATATATACATATACATATTCCTTCTCTGTATTGTATGCACCAAGACTTGTATGTGACAGGCTTCTATCTGTTTAGTTTATGGAAAAACCCAATGCTCTTCCCCACTTAGTTATCTGAAAGAATGCATTTTTAGTTTCAGCAGCTGATTTTCTAGAATACTGATTAGCTAATACTTTTTGGCATATAGCTCATCCATCGTGCGGTAGGACGCCATCTGGATTTTAATTCACTTTTTGAAAATTATTGTTGGGCTGCTATTCCTTTAAAGGCTCTTCTGGTCATGCTGGTTCCAACTGCAGACAATGGGGCTGCAGTCTAGTCTCAAAACCTAATTGAATTGGAATGAGACAGCTGAAGCAATGATTGTTGAAGAGCTTGAGATGGATGACTTTTGCAAAATGAATGCCTCCGAATATCCAGATAGCTTAATGTTCTTGTTGAAAGCTGTGGCCAAGAGTTTATTTTTACTTCTGCAGGTGGCAGAGTTTTAGGGGTGAACTCTTCATTTCATCCATTACCACATGGGTTTATGTGTCATGAATTAACTTAATTTCCCTTCTGCTTTGATGCTGTGGTGATTGCTCTGCTTGTAACCAAACAGAAACTGCCCACTTCTTAAACATACTAAGATACTTATAAAGCTGATGAGTTGGAGAAGAGTTAAGGTTACTCCATCTGCCTTTGTCAGTTAAGAGATCAATCCCCGCTTCCTCAACCATCATTCATTTAAACTGTTCCAAACCATGACTCTCTGGTGTGTTTGTATTTTACAGTGATGGGTCTTTCCCCTATGACTCTGTTCCTTGGCAGCAAAACACCAACCAACCACCAGGTTCTTTATCAGTGGTCACTACAGTATGGGGTGTGACTAATACCTCCCAAAGCCAGGTAAGCTTCATTTTATGCTCCCTACCCTGAGTTATGCATTTTGGTTAAATGTTTGTCAGTAAAATGAAAAAAAAAATAGAGAAAAGTAGGGAAAGGACTGTCATAAAACGGTATTTTTCCCTGCTTATTTTCTTCTTCTGGCAGCACAATGGCTACATATTAGGGTTTTACTTATTTTGAGTTGGTAACACACGGGTGGAAGTGTCAGATTATATTGGTGGCAGTTGCAAGCATCACTTGCTTTCTATACAGGAGAGGGGTGATTATCAGACCTAACATGTTTATCACAGCATTTTTCTTGAGTCCTTAATGGAAAACTTTTCTCATTTAGCCTGGTGCAATGTTCTGAAGCATTGGGACAGAGGTAAGAGCTAAGTGGTTAGTACCAGGGTATAACTGTCCAGAAAATGGGAATTTGTTCCCATGAAAAATTTTGTATTTTTGAACAAAATGTCATCTCATATTGTGATGAAAAGTCCAAAATGCAAAACTTTTTACAGGAAGGGACTTCCACAAAATTCTGTTTCAGGAGAACTGAAATGGAATTTTTTAGCTTGCAGGCAGCCAGCCTGGACAGTTCTTGTCAATTTCACTTTTTCCCTGCAGGCAGAAAGTGAAATTGACCAGAACCTTCCAAACAAAATGCCAGAGGCCAAGCACCTGGCTCTCCACCTCTCCCCCAGCCCAGCTACATTTGTCTGGCTGCCTGACTGCAATGTTCTTGTCCATTTTTCTTTCTCTTGAAGGCAAAATTGACATGAACTTTCCACGCAGATAGCTGGGGAGCTATCATTTCAATTTTTTTCAGTGGAAAATTGATATTTTTCAGAGAAATTGAAATTTTGCCACAGAAAATTTCAGTTTTGTGAAAACTCCATTTTCTGTTGGAAAATCATTCAGATGGCAAATTCCCAACCAGTTCTCTATGTGAAGGACTCAAGTCTCCATCCAACTGATGTTCAAGCCAGTGGAAAGACTTCCCTTTACTTGAAAAGGAGCTGGATCCAAGAACATTAGTCAAGTCACTGAACCGCTTTATGCCTTATGCTGTGTCTACCCTATGGGCTATGGGTGTGATTCCCCATCTCGTGTGAGCATATTTGTGTTAGTCTCATCGACCTAGCACGAGTGTTAATAGTACTGTAGCCACAGCAGCACTCATGATAGCTCAAAGAGACTTAACACAAGTACACATTACATGGGCAAGAGAATCACACCACAACTCATAGTGCAGACAGCTTTGGTTTGGTCATCGGTAAAATGGAGATACGTCTTTATAGTAATGTTGTGAGGCTTAATGAGTATTTGTACATCATTTTGAGGTCCTACATCAAAGACATTATGTTGGGGGCGGGGGTTAAATCAAATTGTCATCTTGCAGACCAACAAATTGTCAAATAACACAGTTGTTTCTTGCTTCTTCACTTAATCAGATGGATTCGCCACATAATAAAAAAAAATGTGATGTCTGCTGTTCCTTATTATAACTTTTCAGAAGCTTCAGTGAGAGACTAATCTTATGGTAGGGATCAGAAAATGGCAAGGGAGAGCTCATAAGAAATTAACATACCTAGGTGCATACAGCATAATGAACCCAGGACTCATTTGAGTGCAAGTATATAAGTTAGTTGATTGTACTTTAATGTCTGTAGCAAACTAACATTGTTTACAGCCATGCTTTAAGGGCTTTTTCCTTATTTTGAATATTTCTCCTCACAGGTGCTGGGAAACCCAATGGCAAATGCCAATAACCCTATGAACCCAGCAGGAAACCCCATGGCTTCTGGGATGACTACAAGCAACCCTGGCATTAATTCCCCTCAGTTTGCTGGGCAGCAGCAGCAGTTTTCAGCCAAGGCAGGCTCTGCTCAACCCTATATGCAGCAGGGCATGTACGGGAGACCCAACTATCCCGGAAGTGGAGGCTTTGGCGGGAGGTAAGACAAGTCTGTATGGGATGGCAATTGGATGTGAATAGTTCAAGGTGTTCTAGCTTTGCATAGCAATCTACTGTATGTGTCATAGGTTCCCTTTGGTTATTTAAAGGGTAAGTCTACACACCAGCCGGATGGTGTGATTCCCAGCTTGGGTAGACATACATGGGCTAGTTCTGCTGAAGCTAGTGTACTAAAAATAGCAGCATGGCTGCAGCTGCTCTGGCAAGCCACCCAACTTCCTGGATACATACTCAGGCCACTGCAGCCACGCTGCTATTAGCTTGAGCAGGGCTAGCACATGTGAGTTTACTTGCTCTGGTAATCACATCTCCCAACGGCTGCTTAGAAATACCCAAAGTCTTGGTGGTTATTTCATCAGGCCTACCTAAATAGCATACTGGGTCCGTTGCTCGAAAAATTGGCTACTCAAAGAGCAGGACATTCATCACTGTATCTGGAAATTAGGTCAATCAATTACCCCTGACAAACACCAGAAATAAAGTTTTAATTACCACACATATAAGACACAAACCAAGGTCCTAGGAATGATTAACATTCAGTAGGGCTAGTATGTGAGAAGTATCGGTGGTACAACTTCCATCAGTCTATATGAGGAAATTAGCTCAAGTATTAGTAAGGGTACAGCACTACAAAGCTAATAGGCAGACCCCTTACTGCAGGAATTTATAAAGCACTTTGTATGAATGAGGGACAGGGCTTTGGTCTTAAATTTTAAGTTATGTGTTTATTTTTGTGGGGTAAGTGCAGTTCTTGTGAAATGTGCCAAATTAATAGCCCAGGTTATCTACAAAACACAGGCGTGGGCCGTTAAAAGGTAAACACAGGCAGTAAGCATGCAAGCTTCCCACGCTCCTAATGCTTTTCCTGAATGCACTTCTGTGGTGATAGTGTAGCTCTGTCTCCGGGCCTAGTCAATCTCTGGGTTCCTTTGTTGTTACTGCCGAAAAGGGTACCAACATGGTAGACTGGAACATGGGAGAGCTAGCCTCTGTTTTCATCTCTACCACTGTCTCGCTACATGAATTTGTACCACTCACTTAAACTTTCTGTACTTCAGTACAGTTCATCTGTAAAATGGGCATAATGTTGACCCACCTTTTTAAAGACCTTTGAGATCTACAGGTGTGAAGTACTCTAGATTATTTATTTGTTTACTTAGTGGTACTTTTGTGATTAGTACCTGAAGTATGCAGGCACAGCCAACTTGCTTCATGCAGAACTCTGAAGAGGCACCAAATGACAGCTGTCAGTCACTGTCGATAACAAATAGCCCCTGTCGGCCTCTTTCCTGAGATCTCAGTGGGACAGATTTCCTTTTCTACTCCTGGGAAAGCTGATGCATTCCACTGCTGAGGCACATAGATGGCTCATTGTGGAGGAAGCTCACAATGGATCCTACTGTCCATGCTGCCCCTAAATTGTGCACACATTCGTTTACAGCCTCTGAGTCCAGCCGCGTGGTAGAACAGAGTAATAAAAATGAGTTAGAAACTCCTGAAAACTGTAGTTTCTAACTCCATTCAAAAGTGCTGACGTTATCTTCCCTCTGTGCCAGAGCAGCTCTTGCATCCTCATTGGCATGCCTGCTTCTCGCTTTCTGTCAGAGTGCTTGTTTTCAAGAGAAACTTATACATGGTTTTGGAACTGTTCCAAACGACATCAGAGTGAGGCCCCAAATCTAAGCTCAAAACACTCGGCCCATTTTAATATTCCTTTCTTTCTTCACCTGATAGTTACCCTGGCGGCCCAAATACTCCTGCGGGAATGGGGATCCCTCCACACACGAGGCCGCCTGCAGATTTCACTCAGCCGGCTGCAGCTGCCGCCGCAGCTGCAGTCGCAGCTGCCGCCGCCACAGCAACAGCGACAGCTACAGCCACTGTAGCAGCCCTTCAGGAAACCCAGAACAAGGACATGAACCAGTACGGACCGGTAAGAAAGTAGATCTTGCAAACTTGTATCCTTCTGACTTCTGCCTTTAGCGAGAAGTGAGTGCCCCTGTTTAGCATGTAAGATATTCGGGTATCAGCTGTATTGTGTGTCTGTTTGCACAAGAGACGGAGACCAAGCGATCTCTTGTAGCAGGGATAAGGATGTATATGATAATGACGTAGAGTGGCCAATACGTTATCTTTATGAATCCCTGTTACCTGCACTAGTCGTGCATTTGTATTGCAAAGAGGTCATCCCTTAGTTAAAAAAAAAATGGTATGCAAAGTTTTATACCCACTTCTAATGGGATGCATTAGGACTTCACCTCCCCCAAACTTTAGCACGCAGGTAAGTGTTCTAAAGCTTTCTTTTAGGGCCTATGCTGTTTCTCTAATTAATTATGTTGATCAACTCAGTTTAGTTTTTCTAAATACAGTAAAAAAAACCCCACCTTTTAAGGTATTATCTGTGAGAATAGCAATTTGAACCATCCATTTTTGGTGACCCTAAGCTCAACACACAATTATTTCCTGTACTAACTATTAATGAAAAAGGAATGAGTGTTTGATCTGTGGCAGCTGCTTTTCTCACCGCTTCCATTCCGTGTAGTATTTCTAAGCATCGGGGTTAAGGGTGGGGCACATGCAGAACCTCAGCTGGCGTAAATAAGCAAAGCTTCTTTGAAGTCAATAAAGGGGTGCTGAATTACACCAGCTGAGGATCCTGGCCTATTACCTTGGGGAAGATGACTGGTCACGTCAGTGGATTTTTATTTGCTCACATTAAAGCCGTTTTTCTCTTACTAAACTATTATTTTTCTCTCCTGTTGCTTTTAGAATTGCAGTTGAATTATTATTATGCCAAAAAAACCCAAAACCCCTCACAGAAGGTTACAGAACATAAAAAGAAAATGCGACATAATCCCACCCCCAACCCCTGCTAACAAACATGTTAAGCTCCCCACTCCCATTTTAAATGCATGTCGCATTTTATTCTTTTTTTTTCTTTTCTTTTCTTTTTTTCTTCCGTTGAAGGTTTGTTCCTCTTTCCAGATGGGTCCAACTCAGGCTTACAACAGCCAGTTCATGAATCAACCTGGCCCTCGCGGCCCTGCTTCTATGCCAGGCAGCATGAACCCAGCGAGCATGGGAGCCGGAATGACGCCTTCCAGCATGAGCGGGCCACCTATGGGTATGAGCCAGCCGAGGCCCCCTGGGATAAGCCCCTTCAGCAGCCATGGGCAGAGGATGCCGCAGCAAGCTTACCCAGGTCCACGCCCCCAGTCTTTGCCTATACAGGGCATGAAGAGACCGTACCCAGGAGAGGTGAGTATTCTCGCTTCTTTATTCCTTTTGTCTTACAAACGATACCAATTATGCTACAGATGAAATCCACCCTGTGCAGAAAACCTGTATAATACCCTGGTGAGTGTGTGTAGCAAGTCACCTCTGTGCTTAGCCCACAAATAGTAGCCCTGCCTAGGGAACTTTAGCTCAAGCTGTAGCTGCTTGTGCTTTTTAGCTCTGGAGGTCCCCAGAGTTCAGTCCCTGGTGCGTCAGCCAAGGTGGCCGCCACCAAGCCCAAACTGCCCTGTGAAGTTCTTGAGCCCTCAAAATATCACTTTGAAGCCCTCATAATAGAACGTAAGTTCATAGGTCTTATAGAGACTCTGCGCAGAGATGAATTTCAATCTGAATGCTTAAAATAAATTTGTCAGGGCAGACCATACGCTTTATTTACTCTGGGTTTTTTATTGTTTTAAAGAAATATGGGTCAGCACCTTGCATAAACACAAAAAGCATGTGAAACTTTTAAAAATCCCATTGCTTTCCAAACCTCCTGTGGCTTGATTTTCATAGGTGCTAATACTCAAAACTCCTGTTGAGCTCAGCATCTCTGAAAATTCCCACGTTGTCATTTAGGTAATTTTCTTTTGGTCTGGGGTGAAGATTATCTGAGTTCTTTTCCTGTTTGTCTGTCTATGTCTATTTGTCTCTCCAGGTTTTTATAAGATTAGCATAGGATGAGAACATTTCCCAAGACGTAGTAATCAAAATCACACAGCCATTGGCTTGCTGTATGACTTCAGGCAAGTTCTATTGAAATCAATGGGAGTTAGGCACTGAGATGCTTTTGAAAATCCCACTAGTCACCCATCTTCATCTTTAGGGGCCTATATACCTTTATAAATCTAGCCCTTAGTGTGTAACTTTAGATAGAATCACAACATATACTAAACTGATGCTATGCTATTAGTCAGTAGAGTTTACACTAGCATTTTATTGGCCAAAACATAATAGTGGCAATGTAAGTTTACAGAAAATATACACTGATATCCAACATTTAACAAATATTTATTGAGTTTCTTGCAGTTTTTCTAAATGCAACATTTCCTGGTCTGTAAATGAATTCTGTTGTTGTTGTTACCTTATGCATCAAAAATGACTTATCTGCTGCAGGAGTTGCTTATCTAACAAGGCTTTTCTACTATGTAAATGCTATCACTCCTTTCCAATTGAGCTAAAAATGCATAGTTCAGATGATTATTTGTACCATTATATTTCATATTTCACACCTTTGTGGAAGATTGGGAATCCCTCCTCGCTGTTTCAATAGCATGTTTTTCATCACAAGTGAATACGAGAATGTTCTCAAGTAACATGCATTTTACAGTGCTATAAAATCATATGCTTGTTGTAAGGGTACTGTGTAAGTTTAGTAGATGCTATTTATTTATTGATTTATGAAAATTTCATAAAGGGGATATTTGTTATAAATTAGCTTGCTCCAGAATTATTTTGTTTTTGTTGTAAGTAATCAATATTCATAAATAGATTTGCCATCAGAACAGTAATATTCTTGACCTCGCCCTAAAGGTGCTGAGCAATAACCATGCCCATTGACTTCCTGTTGGACCACTTCAGGGAAAATGGGGAGGAACTTAGGTCGAGGAGTTAGGGCACTAGCCTAGGATTTAAGAGGCCTGGGTTCAGTCATCTACTCTCCACAGACTTCTTTTGTGACTTGGGCAAGTCACTTCCTTCAGCGTTTCAGCCAGCCACCTATAAGGATTTTTCCGCCACAATGTATTCTAGTTTTGGGGAAGGTTATTTCATCCAGGATAGCCACAGCTGGGGATGGAACATTGGCCAGAAAGGGCCAAGGTTCTGACGTGGTATGAAGCATTCTCTCTCTCGGGTGCTTGGCTGGCTGACTTTTAATCACGTGCTCAGGGTCTAACTGATCCATGGGGTCAGGAAGGAATTTTTCCCTAGGTCATATTGTCAGTGATCTTGGGGGGGCTTTAGCCTTTCTTTCCAGCAAAAGAACATAAGTCTGGCCATACTGGGCCAGACCAATAGTCCATCTAGCTTTATATCCTGTCTTCTGAGAGTGGTCAATGCCAGATGCTTCAGAGGGAATGAACAGAACAGAGCAATTATCAAGTGGTCCATCCCCTGTCATCTAGTCCCAGCACTTGGCAGTCAGAGGTTTAGGGACACCCAGAGCATGGGGTTGCATCCCTGACCATCTTGGCTAATAGCCATTGATGGACCTATTCTCCATGAACTTATCTAGTTCTTTTTTGAATCCAGTTATAGCTTTGACCTTCACAACATCCCCTAGTAACGAGTTCCACAGGTTGACTGTGTGTTGTGTGAAGAAGTACTTCCTTTTGTTTATTTTAAACCTGCTACCTATTAATTTCATTGGGTGACACACACACCCTGCTTGTTTATGTGCTATGTGAAGGGGTAAATAACATTTCCTCTTTTTTTTGGTCCATCCCATTCATCATTTTTTATTTCCTCCTTAGTCATCTCTTTTCCAAGTTGACCAGCCCTATTCTTTTTAATCTCTCCTCATATGGAAGCTGTTCCATACCCTTAATTGTTTTTCTTTGCCCTTCTCTATACCTTTTCCATTTCTAATGCATCTTTTTTGAGGTGGGTTTCCAGAACTGCATGCAGTATTCAAGTTGTGAACCTACTCTGGATGTATATAGTGGCATTATGATATTTTCTCTCTTATCATCTATGATAATGGTTTCTAACATTCTGTTCGCTTTTATGACTGTTGCTGCACAGTGAGCAGATGTTTTCAGGGAACTATCCACAGTGACTCCAAGATCTTTTTCTTGAGTAGTAATGGCTAATTTAGATACCATCATTTTGTATATATAGTTGGGATTATGTTTTCCGATATGCATTACTTTGCATTAATCAGCATTGAATTTCATCAGCCATTTTGTTGCCCAGTCACTCTTTGTAATTCTTCACAGTCTGCTTTGAACTTAACTATCCTGAGTACTTTTGTATGGTCTGCAAACTTTGCCATCTCACCATTTACCCCTTTTTCCAGATCATTTATGAATATGTTGAACAGCAATGGTCCCAGTACAGATCCCTGGGGGATCCCATTATTTACCTCTCTCCATTCTGAAGATTGATCATTTATTCCTACCCTTTGTTTCCTGTCTTTTAACCAGTTACTGATCCATGAGAAGACCACCCCTCTTATCCCATGTCTGCAGAGTTTGCTTAAGAGCCTTTGGTGAAGAACCTTGTCATAAACTCTCTGAAAGTCCAAGTACACTATATCCACTGAATCACCCTTGTCCATGTGTTTGTTGACCCCCACTCAAAGAATTCTAATAGCATGTGGGTGTGGGTCCTTGCAAGGATTATCTGGGTATATCTCACTTAATCCTTTCCCTGCCATTGAAGTGGCCTCACGCACTGGTGCTCCTCAGTTCCTCCTGTTTTTTGCCTGTGGGACTATTATGTTATCTCCTGGGGGGGTGTAATAATTTTGGTCTCATTTTGGTTCTTTCGTTTAGTGTGTATGTTGGATGGTGGTTTGTGGTACACAGGAGATCAGACTAGATGATTTGGTCGTCCCTTCTGGCCTTAAACTCTATGGCTCTGTGACTTAATATCCCTGTGCCTCAGTTCCCCACCTGTAAAACATGTAGTTAATAGCCCTTCCCTGTCTCCCAGGGGTGTTGTGAACATTACACACATGAGATGGTAAGGCCCTCAGATACTGTGGTTATGGGACCATAAAAGTACTTTAGATGGATGGATGCAGGTGCTCAACTCCTCCAAAAATATGGCTACTTATTTAAGGGCCTAAAGTTAGGCATCCTGGAGTGGAGATTTTCAAAGGCACAAATGGTTGAGTGCCCCAGACTGAACATTAATAAGATTTGAGCACCTTTGTATGTCCGCAATCCCCGGTCCCTCAGAGGCCCAACTCCAGGCACCCAGGTTTGAAAATGCTGGACAAAGCGTTCATGAGACAGGGACATCAGCCTGATTTTATTTTCATTTTAATTCTATATTTCAAAGTTCAGTTTAAAATTATTTCTTGTTTTGTTTCATCTCTGTTGTAAAATAGCCAAATTACGGAAACCAGCAATATGGACCAAATAGCCAGTTTCCTACCCAGCCTGGTCAGTATCCAACTCCCAACCCTCCAAGACCTCTTACGTCTCCTAATTATCCTGGACAGAGGATGCCTACCCAGCAAAATACAGGGCAGTACCCACCTCCAACAGTCAACATGGGACAGTATTACAAGGTGAGACTTTGGGTTCATTAGCTATCTCATCTGGTGCTGGTGAAAGTTCTTTCTTCTGTGTTAGTGGATAAAATGAAACTCCGGCAATACCATAGGATCCCTAGATAGGGCCTGATAATACACCATTAAAGGCAATGGAAGTTATTCCATTGCCTTTGATGAGTCAGAATCAAGCCCATAGTACAGTAAGCTATGTCACATCATAATTTGGGGGCACTTTAGCTAAATGTGGGCCAGAAGTAAAAGTGAATGCCAAACTGAGCCCGCCTTTAGTTGTGGCAAAGCAAAATGAGGGCACACACTGCACGGTTCTTGGATTAATTGAGAAAATTTCAGTAAAGCTGGTAGATCAGATCTGCTTTAAGATTAGAATAGTCAAGTCATTTCTGGTGTTGGATTCTGAGCCAGAAGAATCTTAGGGCCAATGGGGTTATTTTGTCATTATTTGCATGGAAGGTGGGTACTGTTTGAGATGACAGCACTATTGGAAAAGAATAAGGAATCATTTCCCACAGAACATCTGTATACAGTCAGGTCACTTATTGCCTGATGTGAGATGTCTAGAAACATTGCTTTTTCTAAAGCAATTTTTATTATACTGTGGCAGCTTCTGTTCCACATTGTCAAGATGAATGCATCAAGGGGCTAGATGCTCAGCTGGTGTAAATCAGTGTAGCTCCATTGCAGTGACTGAAGCTACAACGATTTATGCCAGCTGAAGATCGGTCACGAGTGTTTTAAAGGTGAAGGATTTTATATATATTTTTATCCTGTTTATTTTTGTTGGGGTTTTTAAAATTTTGTTTTGTTTTATAGCCAAAGCAGTTTAAGGAACAAAATAGCCTTTCCTGGGAGTGATCCAGGGCTATGTACAAGGGAATCTTAGTTTGGTTTGAGAAGAAAATAATAACAAAATTTGAAAGGGGAACCAACCCTTGGTCTATCGAACTGTGTTGCATGTTTTTCATGGAAATGTAGATTGATGTGGTGACAGGGTGAATAGACAAGATGAGCTCATGGACAAAGGCAGTTCTCCCAGCTAAGGGGCAAGGCTCTGAGTTGTAATATAGATGACCTGGTCTTTGGAGTTTGAAGACTGTGGAGACTAGAGACTTGATGAATTGAGAACTGTGAGGAACTTTGGTCTCAGCGGAGACAGGAATGGGTATAGTCGGTAGTGCCTTTCAACCTGTGATTGCTCAGTGACCAAAGATAAAATGTTCTCAGCCAAAGATGAGGTGCTATATTATTTACTGCTACATCAAGAGGAGAGGAGAAGAGTAAGAAAATTAGGGCAAAAGTAGGAGAGATCAAAGGTGGAAAACCGGATAAAGAGGCAGGAAAGAATGAAAAAGTGTAGCATCTGCAGTTTCTGAGGTTTGCACTCCTTGCCTCAAATCTAAACTACTGTATGTTTTAAAAATGAGAAGTAAATGCAAAGAAAAAAATAATTAAGGTTTTCAGTTTTAGCTCTCCTACTCATTTCGTTTTAAATAGCGCCAGGCCCAAGCCACAGTACCGATATATAGATTCAGTGTTTAATAGCAATACATATGATTAGGGCTTCTTTTTTTTTTTTTTTTTCAAAATTCAATAACAGCTTGGTATTATTTATTTTCTAGCCATCAAGGCCTGTACCTGTGGCAAATTACCCTCACTCACCGGTTCCAGGAAACCCCACACCACCCATGACTCCAGGGAGCAGTATTCCACCATACCTGTCACCTAACCAGGATGTCAAACCACCATTCCCACCTGACATTAAGCCAAATATCAATGCTTTACCGCCACCGCCAAGTGAGTAGCAAATGGAGCGGTCCCTCAGCCTTTTACTGTCTCTCCTTCCTTTGCCATGCATATCACGCAACCCAGAGTGATGCTTTAAAAATAGCATCTTGATGGCTATTTTTTGACATGGAGAGAAATTTTGATAGCCAGTTGATATATGGCGTCGACCAACCACATTATGCAAGCTACTCAGAGAGGAAGGAAACAGGAAAGAAGAATATTTGTTTCCAAACAAAATATTGGAAAATTGCAATGGAAAACTCTCTCCAAAGTTAAACTTTTAAGGATTTTGCCCCTTAAATATTCCTGTAGTTGATTTCTCAGAATGAAACTCTTAATTTTCAACTGTTTCATGTTGTTGGGTTTGTTTATTGCATAGAAACTCCATCAATAGTAATGTGGTGTGTTTTGGTCAAGGGCAAAGCTATTGAATACTACTGAAGAATAGCTTAAAGGGTGAATATTTATAATGGTACTCCTATTATGTCCATGCAGACCTCTTAAAAATGTTCAGTAGTGTGCCATAAAAATAATGTATACTCCTTTCAAAGCCACTCAACCTCACAGCTATGTTTGGCTGAGAGCGAGTCAGGAATAACACCATCTCAGTGGCTGTGTACTCATACAATTTGTCTAGGGTCTAAAAGTGACTAAAGAATAATCAAAAGTTAGGCACTGGAAGAAGGAGTATGTTCTCTATAGAAAGACCTCTGTTGTGTTAGCTCTTTTCAACCAGCATTTTAGGGTTCATGGAGATCTGAAAGATTAAGGTTATTGGTACTGTTTTAGCTTCAGCAGCTTCAGAGAGAGGAGAGTATTTTAAGTAAGAGTTGAACAGCAGCTTCTGTTTCTGATGAGTGAAGAAGAAACACAATCTTAAATCCAGTGATTACAATGGACAGCGGTAACCTTTTCATACTCCAGGTCTTCCTGCTTCAGAATCACTTCAAACAAACCTGTTTTTTCAGCCAGAACATATCTGCTGAAAATGGTTGGCCATCATAAATTGTGCATAACAAGCAGCAAAGCTCTTCATGATGGGAGACTGAATGGCTTGTGGAACTGGTAATAGAATACCTGAGCCTTCCATCTGCAGATCACCATTAGAATCGAGAGTCATTACCATCTACTGGCACACTTGAAATGAGTTGGATAATCTCAATTCCAGTTTCTAGGGGGAAAATAGCCACATCACAGAAAAACAAATAGCAATGCACAACCACAACTGGCACTAATTGGCAGTCTCAACAGAGTGATTGAATGGGTATGGTGACTGAACTAATCTCTCACAATGAAAAATGGTCCCCCCCACATCAGGTGTAAGGCACGTCTGTGGTGAGAGGCACTTTTGCTGCTCCTTTCATAAACCTTATCTGTGGATATAAATAGAAGACATCAGTCTCCAGAGCTGTCAGTCTGTGCCCTGTCACCTGCACGAAATCCACTTATACAGTTATTTGTCATTTTCTTTTCTATATGTGACTTTACTAGGTTAACCCCAGCAATAGATCACTGTATCATTTGTCATTATTCTGTGTAAATATACACATTGTTATTGCACTGCAGATGCTAAAGGGAAAGTTCACACTTTCTCTCCCTCTTCGATCCCAGCCAACCACAATGATGAGCTGCGTCTGACGTTCCCTGTGAGAGATGGGGTGGTGTTGGAGCCCTTTCGGCTGGAGCACAACCTGGCAGTCAGTAACCATGTCTTTCACCTACGGCCAACCGTCCATCAGACGCTGATGTGGAGGTAGGTTTGAGCAGTGTTCTGAGGCAATCTTGCGTGACTGAAAGCAAAATGGTGGGTCAGATGAGCTTTGTTTGGGTCAGTCATGGATTTTGACATTAGGAAATATGGTCTGGATAGGAAAAAACATCCCTTTAGCTCACATATATGTGAATAACCCTCAACTTCCAGAGAGTAAAGTGCAATAATATACTTCTTGATTCAGCTCCCAAGCCGTTTGCTGGCGCCAAGTTGTATGCCATCCTTCCAAGCAAACCTGATGGAATCAATGTGAATGGGGCAAGGGGCAATGTCTGGAAAATAATTATTTAAATGTACCTTTTGACTTGCTTCTACTCATTCCAGTAAAAGTGCTAGGAGCATGCGTAGCTGAAACCAGCATGCAAGGATCATTCATGGAATATTTCTGACCTAGGCATACTCCTTGCATCATCTGGAGATGATCTTTTGGTCCTGTGTTGGTAGTTGGCCTGGACAATCTGTGATAAGCTTTCTCGCAATACCTTGGCAAGGTTGCTTCTATTTTCAGCTGGAACACAGAGGTGTAAAGGTATCTGAAAATAATAATAGTAAGCAAATTAAGGACCTGATTCAGAGAGATGGTAAATTCAGTGGCAGTTATAGGTGCTAAGCCCCTCTCAGGATAAGGCCCAAATTTCAGAGAGAAGGTGGATTTTAGAGAGCTGTTCTAACTTACCCAGAACAGAAATGAGCCAAGCGGCTGAAGTGCAGCTTTCCCCACGCAACAAAGCTCTTTCACCTACAGTAAATATTACTTTTCATCAGAGCGAGAGAGAATAGTCCCTCTGGATTATATTCTGCAGCTCTGTAACTCAAACTTGCATAAAATGATTCCAGATTCTGTATCGGTTTTGATATATGGACAAGGAATCAAATGGCATGAAATTAAATCAAAACCAAAGCCTTGATTTGTTTACGTTTCCAAATACTGTAGGGTGGACTTGTTTTGAATCTGTGCTTGTGTGCCTTGAAGAGTTTAGTTTCTCATTATCTTGTCTTATTGTATGGAGCTTTTCTTTGTTACACATGAAATAGCTGAGCAAATGAAACCTCTTCTTGGCAACACACTTTCCAGTGTGCCCAGAATTCCCCTTCTTCCCGTTTCTCTAAGTCATCCTTCAAGCCTGGGCTAGGTGGATTATTGGATTAATAATGTTATGACCTCAACATTTTCCGTAGTGGGACCTTCCTTCCAACAAGCTGTGATCACCCACCAATTTTGTAATGTGGGAAGGGTGGGTGGTTGTAACCTCCTGGGCATCACAGCTCCTGGTTGAGATTTGACCTAGGATACAGATACTTATTTGCCTGCATGGTGTTGGTAGTCTCAAGCCTAGGAATTAGAAATGTGAGAGATTTCAAATAGGCGACATCCAATAATTAATGCCTAACTTTGAGGTCAGTTATTGCTTACTTGCATTTCATTATCCTGGAGTACTCACAGCAAGAGGGAGTTTTGGCAGTTATTTGCTGGTTCTTATTAATAAGTAATCACCGTAGGGGATTGTGCAGGCTAGTTCTGTTGATTTATAGAGCTGCACTGAGGCATAAAGCTGTTTCTTAATACCTGATCTTTTTTTTAAAAAAAAAAAAAAAACTTCTTTAGCACACTGACTTGGACTTGTATTTAAATTCATTTTAATGAAGACTTATTGGTAATTTGTGCTCAGGTTTGCCACCTTGAAAAACTTGTTAGTGATGGGAGGGCAGGGGCAGCCTGAACACTCAGAAAACTGAGTCTTGTGTCTGTCATCCTTATCTTGCTCATTTTTCTCTCCTTGATCACATAGTTACACCCACATAGAAAATGCCCATACTGTTTTTCTTGCCCTGTCAGCTGTGTGTGGCGCATCAGTTGTTTTAGCATTTGTTGTACAACAGCTCAGCTAAAAGAGAATAGATATTAGATGGCATTAAGATATTTTGCACGTTGAAATTATAATGAAGTAATATGACGTTTACCTTGGATTGCATGGATTCCAATACACGTATTAGTCACGTGAATTCTAGACCAAACCTTTAGATTATTTTTATGCTAGTTAAAATATTGAGTAAAACATCCCTCTCATAATCACACAGCTGATGGCGACACAAATATTCTTCTCCCTACTGGGAACTCCATGCTCTTACAAAGCAAAAGAATGGAGACAAAATCAACCAGGAGAATTTTGCCTTAACAGTGGATCAGTCTTTGCTCACCACAATTTATGTATTATCTATCATTGTGGGGCAGCATGGCTAGAACACGAGATTCTCCATATTTCCATTCCTCCGTATGTGACCTTGGACAAACTTTTTAAGAGGGGTCAGGGAGGCAGTTTTGTCCTTTACAGTGTCTGTGTAATGTATAAAGACTCTCTCTGTTTTTTTTAATCTACTTGTTTTTAGGTTAGAGATATCAGGTCCCTGCTTCTCGCTTTTTATTTTTTGTGCTAACTAGATTTCCATAGGTCCTGAATAGCGATGTCACTTGAGATCTTCACCTGAGTTGCTTTCCTTCCCCAAAAATAGAGATTGTGATTCTGACCTAAATCTCCTGAATTTCCGAACATGACCACACCACCAGTACAGGACATAAAACATGACCTTTACAGAGGAAAAACTGAGTACAAATTATCTGAGCTTTCAGTAAAAGCAGTCTAAACATGAGGCTGCCCGTTGGTTTTTTTTTTTTTTTTTTAATTATCAGATACTAAGAAACAGCCTCAGCACAAGACCTCCATTCTTAGACTCTAACCAACTGGATCCTCTTCACACCTGCTGCATCTCGGATTATGGTCTCATATGACATCACTATTCATGTCCTTCAAAGGTCTTACAGGAGAGTCCAGCAAAGAGAAGGGAATGAGCACCTGATGTTTCTTATGTAAAAGATGGTCAGTGATGGACTTTGTGGCAATCATTGTTCATAGTAAACAAACAGTGAAGGACAAAACCCCAAAATTTCAGTTTAACTTTCCAGTCCACCTTCAACCTCTCTGTACTTCAGTTTACCCATTTGTAAAATGAGATTAATACCAATGTGATGGGGTGTAAGTGCGCTACTATCTACTGAGGCCTGGTCTACACCTAAGATTTAGGTTGACCTAGATACATCACTCAGGGCTGTGAAAAATTTTGTGCTCTGTGCGACATGGTTAGGTCGACCTAACCCCCACAGTAGATGCAGCTAGGTTGATGGAAAACGAGAGAGATGGATTACAAAAACAACTTCCATCAATGTAGGACTTGTCTATGCTATGACACTATTGCAGAGCTCTAGCTGTGTCACTGTAGCTACTGTAGCCTAGCATACCCTCAGTTACTCAAGACTTAACGTCAGCTCAGCTTGGTATTATCTATCATTGTGGTAGATCAAGAGTGGTTGCTTTGGAGATAGAGTGGGACATATGTTTTTAGGTTCTGCTACTGAGGTGATACCCAGGCTGGGTGAGTTCTGCTTACTCTCTGAATGTGTGAACGTGCTTTATTTTCTTGTTATAAACACTAATGCTTGAGGAAAGACCTACCTGACTGCAACTTTTTCCTTTCTGCTGAGTCATTCCACTGACTTATAACCCACCTTTGTAAAGCACTTTGAGATCTTCACATGAAAAGTCATGTATAAGTGTAAAGTATTACTATTATTATTATTCACTCAAATTTCAGATGTGTCAGCCATCCTGTCTTGTTTCTGTTAGTGGCTTTTATGGGGAGAACATGTGTTACGCATTTATTATTTGTGAGGCATTTCCAGAAAAAAAAAATCAGACTCAAGCAAAGCAGAGTAAAAGTGAAGGGGGTGGGTTGGCATAGAATTTCTAGCATCCAAAAAAGATTCCTTTAGTCATATGAAAACTGAGTTTAAGCCAGCTTTTGCCTTGCGCTACAGGTCTGACTTGGAGCTGCAGTTCAAGTGCTACCACCACGAAGACAGACAAATGAACACAAACTGGCCAGCATCGGTCCAGGTCAGCGTTAATGCAACCCCTCTTACCATTGAACGTGGCGACAACAAGACATCTCATAAACCTCTGCACCTAAAGCACGTCTGTCAGCCGGGAAGAAACACAATTCAAATTACAGTCACAGCATGTTGTTGTGTAAGTACATGGGATTTGCTGCTGCCACTGACTCTACAGGTTTGGAAATGTTCACATAGGCCAGCAGTTCTTACCTCTCTCACTTTTACTTTTTTTTAAATTTTCATTGTTGGGGGCAGGGAGGTGTCACTGATTGTAGCGCTGGTGACAGGACAGGGCGAGAGTGATAGTGCTAAAGACCAGATCATATATTGACCATGTCATATTTTGCTGTAGAACTAGGGCAGCATGGGCAGAGCAGCTACTTTGCCAATGTGTCTAGAAGGACCCACTTCTGAAGGAGAGAGTGCATCAGATCTCTGTGCCCGTTCGGTACTTGCCTATCTAACAATTCTGATAGCAAGGCGAGTAATGTGATGGTGGATGGTTTTCTTGCTGTGGACACTTGTCCACTGGGAATTGGACTGAGGCCAAAAACTTACTTCACACAGAGCATCAAATTACCATTTGTTTGCCACCGTGACTATGAACTGGGTTTAAACCAGTGAGATAAAGGTGAAAGGCTCCTATCCCATTACTCAATCCACTGAGCCATGCAACTTGCCTCCCACTGATAGCTCTCAATTACAATTAGCATAGATTGTACTTTTAATGGAGAAGGACTGCACACTTCGTAGTCAGGGCTTTATGCCATTTAATTGCCATTGGCAAGGGCAGAGAGTCTGGGGACAGCTTTCCCAGAGTCAGAGTCTGAGACAATTTGAAGAGAGACCTCAAGCTTATGCCCATTGTTTTACTTCAGACGACTTCTTCCTTGCACAATCTCACATTCCTTGTCTTCTGCCCCACAGTGTAGGGGTGGACCACTTATCCAGTGGCTAGGAGGAGAGGTCATCTCAGCAACCCTCCTTGCTATTCTGAGTGCAGGGCAAGTGGGCAATAGGGCAGGGGTAGAAAATCCAGAGGTCACTGTGACAAACCCCATAAATAACAGATTATCACAACACATCTTGGACTTTAAAGGGGAAAATGGTGCCGCGAATGCTACTTTTTCTTAACAGCAGTGTGGCCAGGTGATAGGTGTTACGCAATCCTAGACTGCAACTTCAGAATACTCTTAAAGGGAGTGTGTTAACTCAGATGAGCAAAACCAGCTCTAGCATGTATTTGCAGGGTTTCCATTGGAGTCAGTGCAGAGCTGCACACCTGCCATCCAAGGGCAGAACTCTGCGCCACCCAGTGGTCTATAACAACGTAACGTGCTTGGTTCTGTTTAACTCAGTGATTTTTTTTTTGCAGTCACACTTGTTCGTGTTGCAGTTAGTGCACCGGCCATCAGTTCGTTCTGTGCTTCAAGGCTTGCTAAAGAAACGTCTTCTCCCTGCGGAACATTGTATCACTAAGAGTGAGTTTTGTATGTGTATGAGAGAGAGAGAGAGAGAGAGAGAGAGAATGTATTAGAGACATGAGGGATTATCTTTTATTGGATCAGCTTCTATTGGTGAGAGAGACAAGCTTTGAATCTACACAGAGCTCTTCTTCAGCTAAAAAAAATGTAACCCCCTCCTGTCCACCATGCCAGCGTGGAGTTGTTCAAGGCAGGATAAGTCTGCCTTGTGGCTTTTTACACAGCTTTGGGGGTCTGGGCCTGAGGTTCCTCAGTGTACTCTGCTTTGTGTGCCAGTGTGTATTCAACTCAGACCAGACCCACTCAGACAAACCACCAGGAACAAAGTTGTATTCTGTAAGAAAACATAGAACAGGATTACAGTCCAGCAGCTTCCTCTCTCCCTGCCTCATGCTCCCAGCTTCAGGAGAGCTCTGTGTAAGCTCGAAAGCTTGTCTCTCTCACCAACAGTAGTTGGTTCAATAAAGGATATTACCTCACCCACCTTGTCTTTATAATATCCCGGGACCTACCTGGCTACAACACTGCAAACAATGACTGTATTAACTGTATTAATTGTATTAACCAAGACTATCCAGAGTGCCTTATACTCAGTTATAATATTTTATTCCTACACCATTTTTACTCACCTATTGAAACTTTTAATAACACGGGCCTGGGCTTGCCAGAGCATCATGCTGTTTGGCTACCGCCCTGGCATACTCTGATTCTAGATTGGGAAATGGGGCAGAGCAACCAATGATGTTCGCTTTACACAACCGAAGAACTCTGTCAGGCTGGGGGAATCCCTAGCCATGTCAGCTTTTTATCACTCAGAGATCCTCCCAAGCTGGGGGAATCCCTAGCTGTACATTTAGGGCTGCTTTCCATCCCCTTTGCAGCACAAATTGGACAAACTGGGGCTGAGCGCCCAGCCCTGTAACTTTTCAGTATGTGATGGTTTCTCTAAATTTGATTTTTATCAGACTTATGCTCATATTCACTTGTGCACACAATACCTGACTTAAGTATATAGGATTCTATGCAGTTTATCAGGGCAGGGGAAGGCACTATTTGCACAGCTAGACTTCAAGCAGCTACATTAGAAACCATAGTGCATGTGTGGTTTCTTTCGCATACATATACCATCTTCCTAAACAGTCAAGAGGAACTTCAGCAGCGTGGCAGCCTCCTCTGGCAATGCAACACTAAATGGTGAGGATGGAGTGGAGCAGACAGCTATTAAAGTGTCTCTGAAATGTCCAATCACATTCCGGCGAATCCAGCTCCCAGCGAGAGGCCATGATTGCAAGCATGTACAAGTGAGTGCATTTCAGTGTCCTGACATTTTTCTCTGTGCTGTGCATCACAATGTCTTTTGAGTGGTTTTGTGAATTTGTCTGTTTTTCATATAGATTTTATGGTTCAAGATTATATTTTAAATTTGTCTAATTTCAACCAAAGGGCGTGACTGTTTTTTAAATAAATGCTAAGTTGTTCAATTGATGATGAAAGCTTTAATTCCTCTTATCCTATTGCAAAATCACATGGAGTGAGATGAATGAAATAAGAAATGTCACATAACATTTCACTTGTAATCGTGAATAATACCATCATTGGCCAGATCCTGAGGTTGCTACTGAGACTCCAGTCCTGAAACACTTACACATGTCAGTAATCCCATTGAACTCAGTGGAACTACTCATGTTTGTGTTTGGAGGAACAGCGCCTGAGTCCTTACTCAGGCAAACAGGCAAGCTGCTACTGACTTCATTGACAGAGTAAAAACTAAGTAAGGACATCAATTAAAAAAGTAAGGCCTTCCAGATTTGGCCCAAAATGCTCTGTGTCCAGTCTCTGGTGGCTTGGCTCACCTTTATTCCCAGGCATTTGAAAATGGGGTGAGGAAGTATTGGAGGGATCAGATGGGGACTGAGTTTTTAAGTTACCCAGTTTTATTGGTTGTGGGTCCTCTTGAATTGTACTGCTGCACTCAAGGAATTATTTGTGAAGTATTTTTAAGCCATAGAAAATATGGTCAGCACTTGGCTTTAGCATTTTGTAAATGTAAATAAATAAAATGAGTTTAATAAACATATTGCATCTGCTTGTTTTGAACAATTCCTCTTATCAATCACTATCCAAGAAAATGATCCCCCTTCTTTGTCTTCATTTTTTTACCAAGGGGAGAAATGTTAGAAAGTCTTATGTGCCTTTATGCAGCAGGGGAAAGGATATTTCCCGTAAGCCACCTTCTTGCTTCTGTAGATTTATGTCTCAGTGCTTGCAGTCTTGTTTCTCCACTGTCTGCAGTTTTATTTTTGCTCAGTTGGCTCAGTTAATATGGTCTCTTTGTGTGTGTGTGTGTGTGTGTCTGACTTGCAGTGCTTTGATCTGGAATCTTACTTGCAACTGAACTGTGAACGAGGAACTTGGAGGTGTCCTGTATGCAAGTAAGTGAAATGTTATGTCAAATGCAAGTTTCATAGAATTTGTCCTAAGTTATCTTCCAAAACAAACAATAAGAGGCGATAGGATAGATATGTTTAAAATTGTTGAAAAGAATGGAGAAGGCCACTAAAAATGTTTGGTTTATCTTGTTCCATGTTATACAAATATGGGGACACTCCATGATATTTAAAAGGCAACAAAATTAAAATGAATGAAAGAAAATACTTTCCCCTGCAATTCATAACCTGTGGATCACTGATTCAGGATATTAATGAGGCAAGGAGTTGTGCAGGATTCAGAAGAGGTTTTAACCTTTATATTGATAAGATGGGTACCTACCAGGTTATTTCAGCTAGGATAATAGTTCCTAAGGCTGTCATTCCTTATGCACCACAGCATGAACTCCAAGTAAATTTAGGAAGAAACTCTCTACCAAGCAGTGGTGGCATTGGACAATTGAATTGTGGGTTCATTGCCTTCCTCTGGATCATCAAACGTAAGCCACAATCAGAGACAAGATATCAGAGAAGAAGGTCTTCTGGTCTGTTCTGAGATTGCATTTCTGTTCTTCTATGTTGTAATTCACAAATGACTGAACTTCAGATGAATAGATATTAAAGTGCTCCCATTCAGTACCCCCACTGGGGAAATATAGGCAAGGTCATGTTTTAGAGGTGGGAATCAATCTACTGTAGAGTGGGGGAGGAAATCTACACTGAGCTTGAAACAGTAATGCACTGCTCCTTGTAATATTTTAACCTGGGGATGGGCTCGTCACAAAACCCAAGATCCTGAAGAAAGTGTGTGGCACATCCAGGAACTGAACAGGTCCCAGTCTGGTGATTTACCCCCTAAACCATCCTTCCGCTCTATATACATACATGCAGCTATTACAATTTAGGGTTCTTCCTTTCTAGTAAAACTGCTCTACTGGAGGGCTTGGAGGTCGACCAGTATATGTGGGGTATTCTGAATGCTATACAAAAGTAAGTGAACGCTTTTTATTTCCAGTTTTGGTTTTGACCAGCTGCTTCAGTTCTCTGCTTGGGTTAAAAAGACTTTCCCCAGTTGTATGTAATGATTAGGGCTGTTTAAAAGTATTAGATCTGAAAGTTGCAAGGGGGAGACTGAATAGCTTGGGTTACTGAGTATGAAGCTTGTCACCTGTTCAGTTCCAGGGCAGGTTAGTAGTAAATGAAATTCATTATAAATCTGATGGTTCTTTGGTAGCTTAGGACAAGTGACTTGGTCTCAGTCTGGTTGTTAATGGACCTGGTTTCTCATTGGCACTCTTGATGGCAGACTCATCAGAGAGGCAAAAGATGGAATGGGGAATGAACTATTTTCTCGCTCTTAGAAGTGATCCATCTAACTTGGGTTGGTGCCACTTTAAGCAGGACCGTACAGAGATGTTTGCAATGCTGCAGTCCTACTGTACCCACTTGTGGACAAAGGGAGGAGTTCATTTTTCAAGGGCTCTGAAACTATCACCTTTTAAGAGTGCTGCCTACACGCTCTTTGCAAAGGAAACACTTTGAGGTTGTATTGTGTTTGGGGCAAATGGAATTCACAAGTTACAATGCAGCTTTTCATGGGAAGTTCAAGAGAACTGATAGCAAAGCAAGAGCCAGTGATATTGTAAGTTGTTTCTGTCTTACAGCTCTGAGTTTGAAGAAGTTACAATCGACCCAACATGCAGTTGGAGGCCAGTCCCTATAAAGTCAGATATTCACATCAAAGATGATCCAGATGGCATTCCTTCCAAGAGATTTAAAACCATGAGTCCCAGCCAGATGATCATGCCAAATGTGATGGAGATGATTGCAGCTTTGGGTCCTGGCCCGTCACCTTACCCATCCCTTCCACCTCCACCAGGGGGCAATAACTCCACTGAGTATGGTAACCAAGGTTGGTTTTATTGTTTCAAGAGTATAGAAGACATATCCCAAAAATGGTTGAGTGATTCAGTCAGTTTTTGTGATCCACGTGCGTAGCAGTGTAATCTATGAATGCCCTTGCATGGAAGATTGTTTGAGCAAGTAAGAAAATATACAGCTACTGATAAGAAACACTAAAGCAGCCCTTTCACTTTAGAATGTATTTAGGCAAAAATCTTTAATGAAGTAAATCAATTATTCTCACCCATTTTATGATAAAGCACCTCTATCCCCCCCTACAATGGATGGGCAGCGGCTGCTCCCATGTCTGCTTGTGTCATGCCCCAACACAGTTCCCTTCATCTTGCTTTCTGTCCATTTCCTCCATCCCTCCCTTTGGTGACTTCCTTTCCCTGTTCCCGCTCTACAGAAGGCCACATACTGCTGAGGGTGATAACCATGGAGAAGCTTGGGCCAGTGGGCTGCCGTCTGAGCCTGCAGTCCTGTACATGTAAGCTTCTCCATTGGCCAGCTTCATTAAGGGCCACTGTGGGTGTAGGGACAGAAGGTGGGCAACTTTTAAAGAACCATACACCACTTTGCTGAGAAGCACAGGAGTGTTTTTGCATTAGGAAGTCAGATTTAGAGTCATGCAAATTTCTCCGCCACCACATGCCCCAAGGTTGGGAAACACTGGACTAAATGCAGGCAGTGGAGGTATCTGTTCAAGGACCTGGTATATTGGGAATGACTAGATTATAGGGGCAGGTAGTAGCTCAAATTCTCATAATATTGTTGTAAACTAGAGACAATTATCTTTGCAGTGGTATGATATGACTCTCAGTACAACTCTCAATAGTTTCAGAAAATGTCATTACAAGACAAGAGTTGTGCTTCTTTCAGGCATTTTGGAGAGAATATATATATAATTTGCTCCAATGATTGTGAGACCAACAACAGATTATCCAGCTTTTTGAATTATCAAGTAGGTGAACAAACACTATTACAATATAATGGGTACTCCATCACAAAGTGTGTTTCACTCAGTCAACAGGGAGGAAGCGTAGTTAGAGCATGAGACCAGGAGTCACTTAATTTGGGTTTTGCTCCTTGCTCTTCCCACTGACTGTGACACCTGGGGCAAATTACCTCTTTTCCTCTCATTACAATAGCCGTGCAGTGAGGCTGAGTGCTTAAAAGCATTTAATGTCCTCTGATGAAAGGCACTGTAGAAGTCAAAGTCGTAGCAATAGTACTTCTTTGATGTTCGTAGCTTAGTTGTAGTTATTTATTGCAATATTTTCCAGTATAGCAGTAAACACACTGCAGTATGAGACCTCACTCCAGCTCCCTGCTACTAAATCTTTCCTGAGAAGTGGGGTGAGACCAGCTGTGTACTGTGAGACTTATCCGGTTTGCAGATTAGCAAAGTGAGAATTAGCAAGGCTCTACAGCATTTACATGATAGATCAAAGTCCCAGCTTCTTTGAGAAGTACTCTTACATGGCTAATGACTTCTATTCCTCTGAGATTAAACTTCTGCTTAAAATGAGCTGTGCTGAAAAGCAAATGATGCAGAGACTTCAGTTTGTCAAACTACCTGCTTGACTTGAACATTTAAAGCTGCTCTACTTCAGCTGACAAACTGCAAACAAGCTCCAAAGCCGTTGTATTATTTCAGAGCTCAATATGATCCCATTCAGTGGCTTATATGATAGCTTGGTAGCTTTAGTTCAGTTTCGACTGTTCATATCAAGTAAACCACCAGAGTTGGCAGCCCAGTTGGAAATCTTAACAGAGACACCCAGGATAGAAAAGGATATGGAGGGTGAACTTATCTGTACACCTATAGAGGATCAGTTCAGAAGAGAGTTGGAGCACAGTGGCTGGAATAGAATGGAGCAAAACACACTGGTCCTGACCATACAGTACTTTATCTGCAGACAAAAATCAGAGTAGCAGCCGTGTTAGTCTGTATCCGCAAAAAGAACAGGAGTACTTGTGACACCTTAGAGACTAACAAATTTATTAGAGCATAAGCTTTCGTGGGCTACAGCCCACTTCATCGGATGCATAGAATGGAACATATAGTAAGAAGATATATATATATATAGACACAGAGAGAAGGTGGAAGTTGCCATACAAACTGTAAGAGGCTAATTAATTAAGATGAGCTATTATCAGCCGGAGAAAAAAACTTTTGTAGTGATAATATCCTCACACCTTCTTGTCAACTGTCTAAGGGGGCCATCTTGATTATCACGACAAAAGTTTTTTTCTCTGGCTGATAATAGCGCATCTTAACTAATTAGACTCTTACAATTTGTATGGCAACTTCCACCTTCTCTGTATGTGTGTGTGTGTGTGTGTGTATATATATATATATATCTTCTTACTATACGTTCCATTCTATGCATCCAATGAAGTGGGCTATAGCCCACAAAAGCTGATGCTCTAATAAATTTGTTAGTCTTTAAGGTGCCACAAGTACTCCTGTTCTTTTTGCAGACAAATAGAGGATTTTATTCTCTAGATATGGCAATTCCCCATCCCGCACCAGTTCTAACTTCATTTAAAACTAGGTGAGTGAGGGCTAAAACCGAAACATTTATTTTGAAAACCCCTGGAACTTCTGTGCTTCAAGGAACTCAGACTCAAACCAACCTCACTTTAGTTTTGGAAATACATTAATCTTCCATTCAGAATGTGCACTTTGTGTTTTAAAATGTTGGCCACAGTCAGATTGTAACACTGCAAATTAAAAGAATGAATGCCTAAAAAGGTAGATCATTAATGTTCAGTTTTCCAAATGACTGAGTGAATTTTATTAAGTTTTGTGAAAACAAGGAATATGATAGCACAGGCTTGAGCCAAAGCATTGAGGCCTCTTCTGTATTAATCTTAAAGGAAGCTATATGTTTATTCCAAAGAGGGGGCAGTAAAATAGATGCCAACTGTGAGCACAGTAACTTCCTTATGCAGTTCTGCCAATAAGACGCCAGATGAACTGCAACAAGCGTGTAATCCTAGTTAGACAATAATCTTTAGGAACAAAGACCACCACATACTTTTGGACTTGGACATCAGTCAAATTTGAACCCATGTCCCCAGAAGTGGAATGTCCTCCAGGATTTTATGTCTTCACTATTGTGTATTGTTTTTCTCCTTTCTTAAATGAATGTGCTAAGTTGAAGTGGTTGCCATTTAAAATACCAGCATTTGCCAAGTTACTACATGAATGTATCTGAACTGCTCCAGTTTCCCCTTATTCATAGAATAGGAACTATGTGCTATCAATCGGTGAATGGTTACCTTTCTGTGGAAGACGACATATAAGAGACTGGTTTGGTATTTGTTTCTCTTCCTCTACTTTGCTCTAGTACACAGAACAAAATTCCACAGTAAGAGTCCAAATCACTGCATTGCACTGTTGAGGGAGCAGTGTGAGAAAGCTAAGAGTCTCTTTCATGGTAACTCTTTTTTGGCTTTTTTTAGGCAACAATTACCAAGGTCATGGCAATTTTGATTTCCCTCATGGGAATCCTGGTGGAACTTCTATGAATGACTTCATGCATGGGCCACAGCTGTCTCACCCTCCAGACATGCCCAGCAGCATGGCAGCTCTTGACAAACCCCTCAGTCACCCCATGCAAGAATCAGTAAGTAACCTTACACCAGATCTTTCCGATTTTTCCTTATGCAGGTTGCGGGTCTTGCAGCGCGAGAGGAGTCTGTATCGGACTGTGAGCTGTTCTTAGCTCTTAGTGGATTCCCCCTTGTCAATTCTTAAAAAAGATATGTCCTGGTAATAGAGTCAGAAGTGCCACTTTTAGTGTCTGGTTTGGGGCCTGTGAAGCAGCAGTTCTGAGCTTTTTGAGCTGTCAGTTAAGCTTATCTAGCTGAAAGAGACAGCCTGGTCCAGTATGTTAGTCGTAGTGGTTTGCACTGGCACATGGAAAATATAGATTTCATTCCTAGTGTTTCATTCCCGAGGCAGCAGGGTCTGTAAATACTCATCCTCAGCAGAGAGCCTGTTAAAGCATGGCACTGGTGCTATCTTGTCTGCCTTTGTCCTTTGGAACAGAATTTTGCATCACAGCATTATAACACTGTATCCTTCCCAAGGTTAACTGAGGGGGGAAGAGGGTAAACAGCCTGTAAACTGGTCTGGCAGGACGTAGGAGAGTACCTTGGATGAGGAGAGGTAGACCTGTGGATTTCAAGGATAGATGCCAACTATGCTCTGAAAGGACATCAGTTGTTGAGGAGAGAAAAAAACAGAGGATGCTCATATCTCAGATGGAGACACAAGACTGGCAGGTTAGGAACAGAGTTTGTTCATTTCAGAACACTGGATTGTGATTATTTCATGTACCGAACTTTATATCCAGAAAATACAGCACTTCAGCAACAGTAGCAGTACAAAACCTACCAGCAACACTTAGCTTTTAGGCTTGGCTAATCATCTGTTTTAAGCAGAGCAGTAAAATTTAATGTATATACACATATCCCCCTCTGTATTTGTGTAAGTAACAGTGTAGGGGCTGTATTATCATCTGGCAATGTGTTACATGCAACGGAAGAACGCAAAACTTGACATGTCAGATGTGCTGCGTTTTTAGTGAGTGTTGTGAAGCACATTTACAGTGTGTAACATGGACATGTGGTGGCAGCAGCATAGGTCAGGTCTCTTCTAGATGGCAGCAGGTTTTTCTGAAAGAAGATGGTGGGGAATTAGGAAGACAGTAAGAAAGGGAGCAGAGAAAAGGGAAGTTACAACAGGTCCAAGTGCCCCAACAGAAGGCTGGCAGCAGAGGAAAAGTCCAGAAACCATAGCAACTTCATGAATTGTAGGTTAAATAAGCAATAGTGCAAGGCATATGTACAAGCCTTGGGAAATCAGCTTGTTGAACCATCCAGACTATCTGTATCAGAGTCAACTGAAATAGCCCTAAAATGTACTATAGAGAGGATTTGCTACCAGCAAGAACTTTCCATGCAAAGCAACTATCCCTTTGTATAAAGGCTGCAAGGACTTCTGCTTTGCCTCCAGCTATGAAACACTTCAAACAAGAGTCCTAAGCCAGCCAGTTCATCAGAGTTAAGCAATGTCACTGCTCCTCTAGTTGACCCAGTGACATTTCACATGACAAGTGGCGGAAGATTCAAAAGGCAAGTGGTTTGATATTAGAATGCAGAGCTTGAGGAGTTGTGTGGCCAGCGGTAAGCTAAGAGAAAATATGAAGGGCAAAATTCTCTCCAGTCTCTGGCCTTCACTTGGTGCAGGAGACTGAAGGGGCAATTATGGAGCTATTTACAGCTCCTTGATACTGTGGTCAGTTTGTGAGCTAGTTACTCATACTAGTTGGTAACGGATGGAACAGAGCTTTGGTTCGCTTCCTCCTCACCGTGACATGCACCCTATGCTAGTGGAGGGGAGATGGCACTAAAGTAGGCTCCATCAGGTCTATATCAGCTGATAGTTCCTTCCTGCACATGAGGGGGATTCTCAGCTGACAAGTTATGGCCAGATTCCATTTCCCTTGTGCTGCTTGAATAGCACAAGGAAATGAGATTGGATTAGAGAATCTTTCCCTCAATCTTCAGCTATTTCCTGTAGAAGAGGTTACCGTATATACTCGTTCAAAAGCTGAATATTTTTGGTAAAAAAGTGATGCGTCAAAGAGCAGGGGTCGGCTTATAAACAAGTCTACACCAAAATTTGATGATTTTAAACTCTATGGAATCATTGAATTGAATATCTAATACATTGTCATTTTGTTTCCCTGGAGCGTCTGCAGGCATGGAACCCTTCAGCTCCCTTTGGCCATGGTTCGCAGCTCCCGTTGGCTGGGAACGGCGAACCGCGCCCACTGGGATCTGAGGGGCTCCATGCCTGTGAACGCTCCAGGTAAACAAAATGTCCAGGCCCGCTAGCGGCTTACCGTAATGGGCCAGGAGCCAAAGTTTGCCAACCCCTGAAATATAGGGTCGGCTTATGAAAGGGTCATACAGTTTTTACCTAACCATCTTGGGGGGTCGGCTTATAAACGAATGGGCTAATGAATGAGTATATACGGTATGTTAGGATTCTAATTTAGCTATTTGAGTATTATAAAGTATCCATTTTTATCCCTTTGTCTTTCTTTCTCTTCCCTCCCTTAAAATGATAAATCTTGACTTGACTATAGCAAGCATTCAGGAAAGATTACTTTAAACCCACAGCGTTTCAGTCCCTGCATTTCATTGCACAGACTCATAAAGTGCATACCTGAACTGGACATAAATACATTAAAATAACTAAGTAACACACTGCATGATAAGAGATGTATTAACATAAAAAATGGTCATTGAGTAGTTTGTGTATGCTGTTTACCTTTAGCTCTATACAGATAGCTTGTTTATTATTCTGCTTCTCGCTGAATATAGAAATATAAAATTGCCATACCAATGGCCATCTAGGCCAGTGTCCTGTATCTAACTAACATTGACCAATGAATGCTGGATACTTCAGAGGAAGTTGCAAGTAATCCCTTAATGGACTGTATAGAGTAGCCTGCATAGAGGGGAAGCTAGTGAAACTTGATCCTTCTTCACAGATCATGTAGATCACTCCAGGAAATGGAGATACAGTGTGGTGAGACATAGGTTCTTGTAACAGTGAATTCGATCATCAGAAATATCATTTGTCAACAGGGGTGTTCCACCTACGTAGCAAGAAGAGAAAATCAATCCCCAATCCAGCCTGAGGCTACAAGGGGAGAAATAAGATCCTAGATTATAAAGAGTTTTGGTACTCTGTGGTGGGAAAGGCTCTTTACAAATGTAAGATAAGACTGCAACATAGTAAGCGCAATTCCTTCATATTTATATGTTTTCATAACATTTCAGCGGTTGCAAATAAGTGTTAAGGAGAAGGTTATTTCAGACTAATTTCAAGCCTATTGCTCTGAAAAGCAGAGGAGGAGAAGAATTCCATATGAACATGGTACTCAGATTAATAACGTACGTTCAGTAGCACTGTGACTCTCTGTGGTGAGATCCAAAGATGGGCTGCTGAATTTACATCTTAGTCCTTTTCCCACCGTCAATTTTCTGTTGAGGTCAAAGGAATATTAGGTTTTGGCTGGCATTTTCAAAATAGCTGTGCAGGTGTACTTCACATCAAGATTCCTAGAACTTAGTGTCAGTCTTATAAATGTGGTCAGTGCTGTTTTGTGACATTAAATTGGAGAAGGGGCTTGCATCCCTATTTGTGGTATAAACTGCTATTGTATAGATTGTGTACATCTCCATCTGAAGTTATAGGAGTACAAAACCCCAGAAAAGTTTGTGGTCTTAGAAGTCTTTGGTGTGCATGCCACGCTGTAAAACGAAAGCAGTTTTGTTAGACTGTGCAGCCTGCTTTTTTATAATGTGGTTTAGTGTTTTTAAGAGAAAAAGATAGGGACATGAAGAAATTAAAGATGTTTGAGTGATGTTTAGAAATGCTGCATCCTGCTTTTGCATCCTCATGGGCTTTTTTTCACTGGTAGATTTTATGGGGTTTTATGGTCTTGAGTAAATAATACATTAAATAAGGTGAATTTAAAGCCCAAAATGTCTGTCTGAGACACAAGTTCACCTTATAATCAACACTTAAATGTAGAGTTAGACATTGGTCTGTAATGCAGCTTTTTTGGATTCCCTGTCCTTTGATGATGTTCTGAACAATCATTGTCCATCCAGCAAATAGTTCAGTCACCAAAATATTTATCTGACTAGTCAGAAATATCATTTGTCAACAGTGGTGTTCACATATTGCCTAAAATATTTCTCTGCTTTGAAGTGTGTCTATCTGAGAACATAAGAATGGCTCTTGGTTTAAATAATTGGTTTTATAAATTTCTTGCAGTTATTCCAGCATGCTCATACTGTTGTGCCTGTTGGGTTTAAATGGCATAAATTAAACAGGAGTCCAAGATAATCATATTTTTTTTAAAAAGTTCCCATTTTATCAACACTACTTTGAATTATTAAAAATAAATATTTTTTTAAAAAATCTAGCTCATTTTCCCAGACATCTGGTGTACATTTATTCACTTTGTTAGATAGACAGTGACTGTCCAATTTTTCTTGCATTTCATAACGTTACTAGCTTTGACCCTCATTTACAGTAGGGCCTGTACTGGTATCACTACATCAGTGAGGGGTATGAATTTTTTTTCTTTTTTCTTTTTTCTTTTTTTTTAACCGATCTAGTTATACCAGTAGAACCCTTACTGTGGACACAATTATACTAGCATAAAGGTGCTTTATACCAGTATACAGCTTATTCCTCTTCCTGTATGGGAATAATTATACTGGCATAACAAAAACCCACACTAGAGTGGGTTACACCACTTTAACTGTACCAGTATAAGTAAAGGAGTGCAATTTTGTGTTGACAAGGCCTGAGGCTTCTTTGCACTATTCTGGCAGTATAAAGAGACCTAAATTACAGTTACACCCACTTTCAGCACCATTTACATAGCCAGAATATTGTAAAGGAACCTCTGTGTAAATGACAGTCAGGCCCACTGGAAATTAAAATACAGAATTGTAGATAAATATTTGAATAAAAATGACTGGTTTTTGACTGTTGTAAAATATTTCAATTTACATAGGCTTTTATAATAAACCTCCCTTTTACTTTCCAAAATTAAAATGTTCCAGCTAAATAACCTGACAATTCCCTTTGAAGTGAAAGGGTCAATTCTGACAGAGTTTTGCTGGCTTTTGTTGGTTTGTGTTGGATTGTTTTCATGCTGTTGTTTGCATTTGCTCTTTTATTTCAGCTCTACTTTATGGCAATATGTAGCATTCCTCAAAAAATGTTCACATTTGCTTATCCATCTACCCAATTGACGTGAACACATTGGTTCCATGAACATTCATGCACTTTTTTTCTTATGGCACCAAGGTCAAATTCACAGGAACACTCCAACATTAAAGGTAGCATGGAAAGGAAGGGGGGAAAGTAGGGCTTGTGCCCTTTGATTGCTTCTTTATGATGTGAATAGAAGAACAGAAGACCATTCCCCAAAATCCCAATAACAGAATTTTGAAGATTTGTTTAATTTGGGGGGTTGGAATTTTTTTGCACATCGAAATGTCGGGACTGACAAGTCCTCACCTTCTCGGATTTTGAAAGAGGACTTCTTGGATGACTCAGAGGTGGACTGGGAACTTTCTCAGCCTTTAACTGAAGGACAGAGATCCCTGACAAAGAAAGGTTTTCTGTCAGGTGTTTTTAATTAAGTAATAACCAGAATGGAGTAGAGTGTTGTTAATATTGCCAACTTAACCAAAATAGTCTGAATAACGATCACTTGTCTTCTCAGTTAAGCAGGTTTCCCTTGACTACCTTCTTTGATGTCACCATCCTACTATTTCTCCAGACATCCATAGACCCTTCCAGGAAAAACATGGTCATCCATACCTGGGTTATTAATGCAAAGAAATAAGCAGAACCTTCCTACCCTGCTCTTTTCTCACCTTTAAGGCTTCGTTTGCTTATCATGAAGAAGCAAATAAATAGCACAAATCCAGTGCCCTCCCCCCTTTGCGGAAAACCTTAAAGAGACAAACATTTCCTCTGATATTGGGATATGGGATTCTCTTTTCTGATGGCTTTTTTTTTTGTTTGTTTTAACATTCAGTTGAGGAATTTCATTTTCTTCAAACACCTTGAGCACTGTACCTTGTGGCCTCACTTTCTTTTCCTGCTTTTTTCCTCCTTCGCAGATCCCTCATCCTGGCAGCACTGATCAATCCCATAGTTCCATGCAGCAAGGTTTGCACGTACCTCACCCCAGCAGCCAGTCAGGGCAGCCATTACATCACAGTGGTCCTCCTACCCAGCAGTCCCGGCAGCCGCCACAGGCCGCTTCTAGCAACCATCCACACAGTGACCTGACTTTTAACCCCTCCTCAGCCTTAGAAGGTCAGGCTGGTGGACAGGGAGCATCTGACATGCCGGAGCCCTCACTGGATGTAAGTTTGTGTCATACTATCATCTGCCTGCCTTGGAATGTGCTTTACATTTCTGAGAGATGGCGGGGGAGGGTAGGGAGAGGGAAGGGGAAACAGCTTGCACAGCACATCATCGTTTCATGCATTGTTACATGAACGTAATCACTGAAGCTGAGATGGCAGGCGCTCTTGGCTTGCTGAGAAAACCTTTCTGTTGTAAGCAGCTGCATGACACACAAGCCATATCTTTGTTCTAGTGAGGGTGTTTCCATGGGGCCAAGCTTTTCTCAAGACAATAGATCATTTAAGCATCTGATTTGTTTTTCTTCTTTGGACTGGTGAGCCTGCATATTAAGGGCTAGATCCTGAAGTTTCCACAGGCCCTGAGTAAGGGGCAGGGCACAGTTGCCCTGCCCCAGGTGCATGGACTGAATTGTACTGAGAAAGTCATAGTTCAGAGCCTGCTTCCCCCCTTGCTCCTAGGACATAGTAATCTGCGCCAGCCTGGCATCACTTATCATCCCTTTCCATGCTAACTGGTGTCTGGGTGAAAGCTTTTCTCCACCCACACCCACCTGTGCAATAACAGCCCTGCAATGGCTGTTCTCCCTCACCATGCACTGACCAGCCCTGAGGGTAGCCACTGCAGGGGAGCAAGCTAAGAGAATGCCTTTTGTCCCTTTACTCCCCTGTTTGGTTGCTTAAGGCAGCTCATGACTGAATCCTGAGTTACTGCTGTATCCGTTTCAAAGCAAATCGTAATCCTCTCTTTCAAACAAGGTTAAGGAGTTAGTTTATCTGTCTCCAGGAATCCTTTTGGTCAGCCAAGCACTTCTTCAAACATACATTTCTTAATGCTAGGGTTTGGTTGTTTGGTTTGGTTTTGAATACCTTGCTCCAGTCCTCATATTTGCAGTCTCTAGTGTGAACTCCATAACTGGTGTGATTATAACTTCCAAAGAAGTGCTTACTGTTGTGCTGCATTCTTGCACATGTATTTATTGCTCATGCTTTTAAATGTCACAGAACAGCACCGTGTCTTTAAATAGCCATACTAAAGGAGGAAGGGTGGAAGTAGGGGAGACAGGATGACCCATGTCATTCTGGTCGTTCCTCCTTTAGTAACGCTGAAGGTTCTAGGCGGGTCAGTTTCTAAGGCCATGTCTACACTTACAAGCTTCCAGCAGCACAGCTGTACTGATACATGAGTGCTATGGTGAGAGCGCTCCTGTAGCCCATTATGCTGACGGGAGGGAGCTCTGCCATTGACATAGTGAAACCAGCTCAACGAGCGGCGGTAGCTAGGTCAGTGGGAGAGCGTCTCCTGCCGACATAGCACTGTGCACACGAGCACTTATGCTGGCAAAATGTATGTTGCTCTGGGGGGTGTTTTTTCACACCCTGAGCGACAAAAGTTTTGTCCATATAAGTGCTAGTATAGACATGGCCTTACTGTGAGCCAGATTCTGCTGCCATTCTTAGCAAGCTCACACTGAAGCCATTGGGGGATGCACTTTGAGGGACAGCTATTGAACAAAGCCATTAAAGACCACATTCAAATAGTGTGAATGGGTCGCATAAACTGCGAGGCTCCTTCTCATACAAATGTTTAGGTAACATAGAGAAAGCTCTTTTGGTTGAGGCACTAGGCACTCATTCTTTGGGGATAATCAGAGTATAAAAATCTGGATAGAGATGGTTATCACCGATAGAATCACGTTGGATTCTTGAGGAGGCCCTGAAATTGCTTTACCTAGGTAATGAGACAAATACTGCAGAATGTGCAGTGGGAGTTCTTTGAAACATAGGTAGAAATTCATTAGTTGATTCCTTTAGTCTTCAGTGAACATGTTATGAAGTAACGATTGGATAAAAATGCCATGCAGTGTTTGTTATCAGTGAACTAAAAGATAATTTCAAAATATGCAATGGCTAGTAATCTAGCATGGTGTACTCATTGTTGGGCAGAATAATCTGCTTCAGTGTGGCTCAGTATGATGTTTCCCATGATATGAGAATTTCTCTTCTGTACAAAGATCTACATTATCCAGATATAGATGTAGATCTGTTCTTGTGTTTATACAGCAATTCAAGACACTCTAGTTTTCAGAAGTCTTCTTTTTACAAGTTCAGACAGTGTGCAAAGATACCAAATAACTGGCACAAATAACCAAACAAAGATTACGTTTACACAATAATTCACTGTGGGCCACACACGTATAACTGCTTGGCTTCAGCCAATGACTCCCTGATCTTTTACAACTGCTTTTTTTTTTTAAATGCACCCCCAAACTTGGAAAAGTATGGCTTGCGGGATAGGGGAGAGAGAGATTGTTTAAATCCACCCTTCCAAGCAATGCAAACAGTGAGCCTCAACAACATTCTGTTAATTCTTTAGCATTAATTAATTGTAAGGTCTTGAGAGTGGGGGCTGCCTTGTACTCTGAACAGCAGTTTGCACGGTGGGGCTGCAGTTCTGAACAGGGCCCTTGGTGACCATGCTTTTTTTTACATTTAATGCATGTTCCTGAACAGAAGGTAGATATTTTAAGAACAACAACAATTATTTCCTCTGGGAGATGTAACTTTTTTAATCATCGCAGTCATACTTTTAAACAGCAAATAAAAAAAGTACAATCTTTGTGTTTCTCATAAAACTTAGAGATTACATTTACATTTCATTTTTAAAATATTGCAAGATCAATTTACCTGTTTAAAGTTAGGGAATGAAACTATATTTGTATAAGAATACTAAAAATATATTAGTGTAATATTAATATATAAAGTGTAATATATTAAAGTCTAGCTTTTAGTTTTACAGCATTGGATAAACACATAGCAACTACAAGTGTGCATCTGAGCTGCTATTCCATTTGTTAAAGTAATCCATATTTTTTATCTTGGCACTAAAAGAATTTTGGATATAAAAAGGGCTTATTACATACTCCTTTTCACTGCCACACTTTAATTTGTCATTTTTGCTTTTTACCAAGAAATTGTTAGGAGCAGAATAAACTGTAAAATGTCCCTGATTGTGAAACGGAATAGTTAGGATTCCTGGGTATATGTCAGACCAAAAAGGGATCTGAATGGAATTTTGAAGAAGAAATAATTTTCCCTGTTTGAAGCATTATGTCAGTGGAAATATATCTCAAAATATTTCTGCTGTTACTCTTCAAGAGCTGTAGTGAATAGTGAGTGCACTCTGCTGTCAGACAGGGGTATAGTGCCTCTGAGTCATTAACCCAGCTTGGGTCACCCATAAGATACTGCTGCCGATTCATCTTTCCATGCAGATATGCATAATCCTACTTTACCTACTTAAAGATGAAAGGTAATTATTAATCAAACTTAGTGCATATTTAGAGTATGTATTTGTGCATAACTTTTATGAGTGCTCCCTATAAGAAAGTCGTATACATGGGCAAGAAAAACCTTTGCAAATATCACCAGCCAGGGAATTAATTGTAACCCATGGAATAAGCTCACTTTGCCCTACACAACAGTGATTCATGTTAAGGATGTTGGCCTTGAGACTGTAATTGCCACAATACTGGGATGACTGCAATTCTCATGCCAAAAGTGGGTTATACAGACTTGCCCAGTCAAGAGTTCAGACTAGATGATCGCAGTGGTTCCTTCTAGCCTTATACTCTATGAAGTGGCCAAAAAATCTTGATATTACACCATCTTAATTTGTTTTGTTTATGCTTTGGATTTGTTTTGATGTAGATACATTACAGTCAGTTTCCAGGTATGTGCAGTTTTTAATCCCTTGTTCTGCCAATCTGTTTCCATTACCTTTAATTTTCCTTTTAACTTTATATTTTGTAGCTGCTTCCAGAACTCACAAATCCAGATGAGCTGCTTTCATACCTAGATCCTCCCGACCTGCCAAGCAATAGCAATGACGACCTTCTCTCTCTCTTTGAGAACAACTGAAACCCTATGTATTTTCCCCACTCCCTCACTTGTCCACATGTGGGTAGCTGCACAAAGAAGAATCTTCACACTCCCACAGAAAAACCAACAAACTCAGACTTGATTGAATGGTGCACTCCCTGCTTTCCTCATCTCAGAACTGGTTTTGTCAGCTTCACTGACTGTGAAAGCAATGGGAGGGGGAAAAAAGAAAGAAATGCAATGATCTCACAAGGAAGCATAGACAATAGTGCAGCTAATGGAAACCCCATTCATTGTTAATCTATAGAGAGAGAGTTCTGTGATACACATAGTGTGAAGTATACTGGCAAGAACCAATCTTGGCAAGGAAACAAAAGGCAAAAGAATGGAACTGTCCTAATTGACCGGTCTCAGAATGTCCTTCCAACGAGTGTTCTTCCATTTTTTTGAAACCCTTCCCCCACTTTCCCTCTTTCTCCCCTCAACTGCAGATTTGTGTTGGACAAATTGTATTGGCCACACACTTAAAGGAAAACAAACAAACATCTTAATCACCAAAAAGCACAAATAATACAATAAAAATCAAAAGTCTGGAAGAAATGAATCAAAGGGAGACATCTGCATAACTAATGTTTGTCTTCAGTAGAGGAGCCCTGAGAATCTCCAGGCTGCAGACAATGTGTGTTTGTGTTTATAAAGCGTAGGAATCTGCGACACCTGTTTGCAAGGGATCCCTCTGCTTAGACATACAGACTCGGAAAAAAAACCTTTAAATTTGTTTTGGGGTTTTTTGTGGGGGTTTTGGTTTCCAATCACTACCATTTGTGACTGTGTTGTTATCCAATTGTTGACATGATTATTTTTATCCCATATATCCATTCAAAGCAGAAAAAGAGCGGGGAGGGAGTGTAAAAAGTTTTCTGTCTCCCAGAGCCTTCAGTGTGTTCCATCTCTGTGTCATTAGATCCTCTGTACTGCACAATACATAGCAGGACAAGCTGGATGAAGGCGGGGAAGAGCTCACTGCCGGATGGGGAGAGTGACATCACTCTTGGCAATTTTTTTTTTTTAAGAGCTTGAAAGGAGCATTGAAATTGGACAGACACCTTAGAGCTTCTCTTTTATTTTGCTTTGTGTTTTGTTTACAAGACTGTTACAAGTAATTAAGCCTTTTTCCGCCTTGTTTTTTTAACTCTTTAGCAGCCCAGGATGTTTTATTTTTCAAGAAGGATGGGCCTGGGGAGAATAAGTAATTGTTGGTAGGTTACTACTGCCCTCAACAGACCCTGCTGCCACAATCACTGTCTTGCCCTTGTGATCTGTGCTTCTCGTGTGGTTGCTTCTCCTGCATGAGCTTCCTATTGCTTCCTATTGCTTTCCTATTGCCCATTTTTGTGCGTGCGCTCTCGCGCTCTCATAAATTATGTACAGTAGCCGTGTAAAAAGTGCATGTGTGCCAACTTTGCCCTCGTGGTGCGACATTTCAGCTTTTGCCCACTGTACAGTTATTGCTTTCTTTATTACAAAAGCAAATTTGACCACCACCACCCCATCCCACATCCCATCAAATAGTCCCTTAGCTGTTCTGAACAATATGTTTTAAACTTAACTGCCAGATGGAATTTTGTTAGGATTTTTTTTTTGTCCGTTTGAATATGTAATCTCTGACCCTCCCTCTCCCCCCTGCCCCCATTTCTCTTTTAGTTTGCAACGCTGTAAATGGCATGACATATGCTTACAGTTCTGGATTTGCTTTCCTCACCAAAGTCAATATTTGTAAATTCTTTGCGTATTTTTTGTTAACATTTCCCACTACTGCTGTACATGCATCGTGATATATATATATGCTAGTCCGCAGCACCTTGCTGTAGATATTAAAGGAAATGGCGGTTTAGTTCTTTTATTTTGCTGTAGGCGTACTGAATTTGTCAAACATTTTATGTAGAGGTGTTCCCACGCTTATATTTTTCCTGTTTTATGGTTTTTTTAAAAGGCGCTGTTCATTATGCAAAATCAATTATTTTAAGAATTGCTATTGTAAATATCTTTGTGAATATTTTAGGATCGTCTTTGATTATATTCAACATTTTCATCATCTGGTTATCCTTTTGCTGGTGTTTTTAAATACCTTGTCTGGGGGGGAAAAAAGAGGGGGTCCTTTAAAAAAAAAGTAGGGTTCTTTAACAGAATGAGGGAGCATTTTTTTCTTTAATAAATTAGCCCAATTTTCATATCCATTTCTCAAATGACTTGATACATCAGGCAGTACCTGGGCAATCAGGTTCCAGCTCTGTCATGCAAACTGAATAATAATTTCCTGGGGCAAAAAATAATCTTCATTGACTGTGTGGGTGATTATGGGCTGGTTAGTGGCAGACATTTTGCCTAAATCAGCAGAACCCAAAGAGCCAGCCCTGAAAACAAGTAAACTTACACTAAGGCAAGCAGCAAGTATATAAGATACAATATGTATATCATTTTCTGGTCCTCCAGCCTTTGAGACTGGAGCTAACACTTGAAGGTGTTGGTGGGTGGGGCAGGGAAACAGTACAGTATGTTTTATTCTGCTTAGAACTGTCTTTTTCTTCTCTAGACTTGACCACCTGTAGAGGATCTCTGCAGAATGTTAAAGATATCTTGGTATAATACATGGTGACGTGGTTGTGGTGTAGTGCCACTCTCACGCAATTAGTAGGAAAGACCATCCTTCAGTTACCAATGTGTTTTGTAGCCGGTTTTACTGTAGTAGTTTTCCCCCTGTATTTTTGCTGCATCATTTATGTAGGTGTTGAAGTCATTTGCATGGGCGGATAATGATAAACTGACTTTGTATTGCCTTTAGGTATTTGGGGGTTTTTAGTCATAGATCTTGGAATAAAGAACACTTCTCACTCTGAGTTGGAATTGGTTGCTCGGATTCTGTAATTGATTCTGTTAATGATTATTTAATTGCTCTACCCCATTGCTGCTCGAGCAGCTGGCTAAATTAGTCACCTGAAATGATTCGTCTATTAAAATGAGCCTATGCTTTTCAAACCAGATATGTTAAGAATCAATCTATTGCTAATTGGTAGTCGTCTAACTGTATCGTGTAGAGGTACCTGTTGGGAAACATAAACAGAAAAACCCACAGAGAACAGCAACGTGGGTGGGGTGGTTTTCTACGTTGTACATTAATAACAGAGAATTAAATGAACATTTTAAGCCTACAGAAACACTTGGTTCCTAAGCAAAAGTGACACTAGGATTTTTAGCCATCGTCAAACTGTCAGAAATTTGAGACAGTTTCAAAACTGTTCGTCAGCTGACGTCAGGTACTGTACAATAGATTCAGTATGAAAAAACTTCTAAATGAAAACATGGATAATTCTTAATCTGTTCACTGCCATAATGTTAAAATGTAGGGAAAGACCTACCAAACAGGATTATCACAGTTATTTTCCTTTAAAGCTTAATTATTATATCAAATTCCCAGTAGTGTTTTAATCTGTTTTTTGGTTTTTAAAAATTGTTTCCTTATGGAAGCTCATCTGGGAAAGAACCCACAACAATCTACAGTTCTGCTGCCAAGACATTATAGGACTGACCGATCGATACACACCGATGTCTGCAGTGGAGACTCAAGGGACATCTGTACATATGTAAATGATGAATAGAGACATGTTAACAGAAACGCATTCATTTTCCTTGGAATGTGCATTGTTTTTATTTTGCAGGAAAAAAAAAAGCTTGAAGCTCCATCTTATGTGGAAAATGAATCCTGTTCGTTAGCGTTTGTGAAGTCTCAGCATTTGTTTCACTTTCACTTCTGTAATATACTCTGACCCTTTGTGGAAAGAATTTTTTGTTTTGTTTTGTTTTTGTTTTACCTACATGTAATAATTAGCTTAAGTGTACTAGTCTATCACCTGTGTATTTTTAGGGTGCTACAGAAATAATGAAGAAAATAAGGGGATTTAAAAAAATTGTAACCAAATTCATACTTTGTACAATTTTTGATATCATGATCAGAGGAGAATTTAAAAAAAAGTACAATCTGAAGTAACATGCAAAAATGGCCATTGTCTTTGTTTGTACATTGTATGTACAGTACAATGCAATCATTTCATACTTTAAACTGGTCAGAAAAAATAATTGTGATTTTTAGTCTTGCAAAACTGTATGTAGTTAGATGATGTGACAACCTAATATTTATCTAATAAATATGTATTCAGATGAAACCTGTATATTAAGTGTTCATGTGGTTATTTTGTATTTAAAAATCAAATTATTTGGCAATTGCTAGACACATATATTCTATTGTAACACTGAAAGATTCTCATTTGTTCATGTTAATTTGTTTCCGAAATAAATTTACAAAGTTAAGGTTTGGCTAATTGGCAGCTGTTTTGTAAATTTGAAGTTTCTTTTTGAAACAAACAAACAAAACCAAACCCAGTTTGTATGTTAATTTAAAAGTAACTCTATTATGGGATTTTTGTGGGAGGAAAAGTGAGAACAGGGAGGGCCAATATTCTCTGTGAACATTTTTGAAAGAAACAAAATAGTCTTTTCTTCAAAATGTTCAATGGAATTTTTCTGTTTTTCAATGGAAAAACCAAAAAAATATTCAGTTTGAGGTTTTTCAAAGTAAAACTGGAAGTTTTGAAAGAAATTATATTTTTAATGGAAAATTTTTGTTTTGAATAAATGCTTACAAAACTTAATTTTTTCCACTGGCCGTATAAATTATGAACTTCAGTCCTCGTGTGAAAAAAACAATATTTTCAGATTCCTATTTCATGACTGAGGATAAAAGTGTCATTGAAAAACATTGAGTCAAAAGGTTTTAGGCTCCTAAGTCACACACACATTAAAGTTTTACCCTGTGCTTTTAAATATTCTATTTAACGTTTCATTGTAAAATCTTGTTTATCACCTGTTGTGAAATTATACACGTGGCACAGATACTAATGTACTCTTGACAATTATACCAGAACAACAGGTGAGGAGTTACGTAGCCAGTGAATTGCCTCATGCAGTTGTCATCAAGGTATGTCGTAAAGCAGTGCATTGACAAGCAGGCTAACATGGTTAAAGACTGAAAGGTAATCCTTTTATATATCAAAAAGTGGAGCTAAGAACAGAGGAAGCAGAGACGTTATCATGATATGTGTATTCTAGGATGGACTTCAATGTTAAAGAATTAGTTGGAATTTTAAAGTCTTGTTGCAAGACTAATGGAGCTGCCTTTTTATTATAATAATAATAATAATAATAAAAAAAAATTACAGGTAGGTTTCCCCAGGATTAATTGACTCTGCTCCGAACTAGTACCTAATTCTACTAGCCATTGTTAGCTCATAGATTTCTGCTGTAGTTCCGTGGGATCAAGAGCAGTTGCCTCAAAACTATTATTATTGCTAGGCTGCCTGGTGCTGTACAAGACACAGTGGAAGAATTGCTTCAAAGAGCTTACAGTCGAAGTAGCCACAATGCAAAATGCACTAAGAGGCTCAGAGGAAGTGTCTGTCTTGAAAGGTTTGGTTTTGTTTAGATGGGTGGTTGATATTTTTATTAAATATTTGTGGGGCCAAGTGAGATTTGCGAAGGGGTCTGAGAGGAAAGAGGGTGGGTGACTAATATGCTGGGGAAGGGTAGTATCAAAACCCATCCCACAAAGGATTTAATTATATTGTCTGGATATCTAGCAGAGCTGATCAGAAATTTTCCACTGGAAAATGCTGATTTGATTAAATCAAACATTCTATGGGAAAATATCAATTTCATTCACCTTGTCAATGGGAAACTATCAAAATATTTCATTTTGACATTGTTTTGATTTATATTGTAATACAATCTATAATATAATAAACAGGTGAAACAATCATCTAGAAACAAAATGTTTTGATCCTATCAACACAAAACTTTTCAATAAGATCAAGATAAAATATGACATTTCATTTGGCAAAAAATTCCAAGATTTCAACTTTTTGTCCTGGTTTGGGATGAGACAATTTCATAATGTTGGAATTTCCCATGGGACAGAGATTCCATAGGGCAACATCAAGCAAAAGTCATGTTATCTAGTGGGTAGGGCACTCTACTGCGACTCAGGAGTCCTGGGTTCCATTTCCGGCTCTGCTCCAGACTTGTGTGACTTTGGGCAAATAACTTCATCTTTGTGTGCCTCTGTTTCCCTTCCTACCTTTTCTCTGTCTTGTCTATTTAAATTGCAAACAAGATTAGCCCCTTACAGCTGCCATAATCTGCAATTTTACAGCCCCACTCTGACAATCTTAATATATTCGAAATATATTGGCACTTTTTATCTTAACGCATACGTTTCTGACCGTAGATACTAATATAGCATGTGGCGTTGACAAGCATCCGGTTGTGATGTCATCAGGTATCCTTGTATAATCAGGTTGAGATGCGGTCAGTAGAGCTGTTGGAGGAGACAGATGGGGGAAAACAGGTGCAGCAAGAAGAGGTATTGCAATCGCTGGCACACTTCCATCTGAGTCAGTCGTGTAGTAATGTCCTAGTAGGGTGCTGGGGGGCAACGTGGTGCTGGCTCTGCCATCCTGTGGGATGGAAGCTGAGTCTTCAAGATCATTAAAGAGCTCTTTGCCCTTCTGTAAAAGTCCTGGGCCACTTCCATTTTGATTAACTGCGTTCTGCCTCCTGACCCCCCAATTCCCCTCTTGCTTCAACTGGATAAGGCAATGTTCATATCCTGTTCCAGAATTAGTGTGGCTGGTTCTATCATAATGGTAGCTGCTTCTCACGTCAGAAGTGGTATTTTACAGTTGGTAAAGTGAATGGGTCCCTATACATGTAGAGTTTTTAATTCAATAACGCAGGGATTCCCAAATGTTTTCACAGAATGGGGCCTCATCTTAATAGAGATCATCTCCTGGATCTTCTCTTTCACAATTGTGCAGACCTCTTCCCCTCCTACAAGTGCTCCTGGAACTCATTGATTTTTAACAGGAGGTAGGTGTTAATGGGTATTTGTAAATCCCACTGGGCACCTATCTGCATCTTTAGGCAATGAAGAACCTTTTTAAAAACTGGCCCGTTGTGACCAAACAACTCATTTGGACCACTAGTAACTGCTTTATAGACCACATGTTCCATTGACCACCCTTTGGGAAGCACCCCTGTAAGACATTCTGGGGTTAGCTAAAGGCATTATATAAAATGATACATAGTGCAGGTCGACTAATGAATTCCAGGCCCACAGCATCATTCAGTACACTTGAAACCAAACTGCCTAATCATGGTAATAAGAAGCATGAGTAGGAGGATGAGGTTTTTCTCATACGCTTTTTTGCAGATAATTAATGTGATGTGGGGAACTCTATTCTTTCTGGACAGTGTGTGACCGAGAGAAGGTTTGTCAGGCAAGACAGGTCACTGCATGTTTGTAAGAGGAAGTCGAGGAATAGACCTATTAATCAGAGCAAATATTTATTAGTATTTCTTTCAAGCTATAAACACACGTGTGTCCCATTTCATGCGCTGGGGGCTCTTACATCATTTAATTTCACAATCTCTTAATGTGATGGACCACTATTTCACCCTCTTTTCCCAGGCCAAACCAACTAATGAACAAAATACACACCAGCTAATAAAAGCTCTCGATAGCTGACATAAATACCACATCCACTCTCAGCCAATCCTCCTCAAACCATTGGGAGAAAAATGACCCTTATAGTATGCCCCGCAGGGTAACAGTTCCAGGCTCTGGCAGATTAAGGGTGGAAGAAGGGGTAATTGCAAAGCTGAGAACCTTTTAACGGTAATGTCCTGCCAACAGCCAACTCCCTTTAAAACTTGCCATGACCTTGACACAGTTTCTGAGGTCCCAAGACATATGCTAAAACCAACACATTGGAAACCTACTTCCTGGCAGTGCAGGCCATAAGTCACAGGGGTCATGTGCTTCTCATGTGAAATGGTGCTTGATAAACAGATCTCTGCAGTCTGCATTCAGGTTCTTTCCTGTGGAGTCTCAAATGTGTAGGCCAAGGTAGAGCACGTCACAGCAATCTCATCTCAGAGTGCCAAAGGCGTGGATAATTGGGGCTAGATCCATGTCAGAGATAAACGGTCATACTCTTATCACCACCTAGAGGTGGAAGAATGTGCTTCTGGACACAGCTGCTACTGGGAATGACCCAAGATCTATTAATATACCTAACATATGCATTTGCATTATAAAAGAGCAGATGGACTCTCTGTATTAGGAGTGCCGGTATAGCGCAATATTGAGAACTGAAAAGTAATGTACACTGTGGGGAGGGAGAGAAATACCCCAACTCTACACCTACAAAAAACTCTAAACTAGCTATTACCACCCAAGAAAGATGTGATGCCTGTTATAACAATATCCTCATTTAATACCAGGCACTCAAATTCACTCATCTTAGTATTTAAACTTCTAGCATTTAAGGACTTACAAAATTTGTCAAGTTAGCTGTCTGCCATTGTGTGATGTAATTGAGACTCCACCAACTTCTATCTTCTCCTCTTTACTATGATATAGAGTAACCCCTTTAATAGATCCTCCCCTAGGGGATGTCTTTGTTTCAACTGTGTGCTCCTCTGCACCTGCTGGCATTCCCCCAGCCCTTAGTTTAAAAACTCCTGCATGAACTTTTTACTTTGACATGCCAGCAATCTGACTCCTTTTTGGTTTAGGTGGAGACCATCCTTCCTCTAGAGGCTCCTTCTTTCCAAAAAGGTTTTCTAGATCCTAATAAACCTAAATTCCTCTTCCCAACATCATAGTCTTATCCACACACTGAGACCTTGTCTAACTGGACCTGCATGGAAACTGGAAACATTTCAGAGAATACTACCATGGATGTCCTGAACTTTAGCCTTTGACCTAACAGCCTAAATTTGGCCTCCAGAACCTCTCTCCTACTTTTCCCTATGTCACTGGTACCTACAAGTACCACAACCACTAGTTCCTCCCCAGCACTGCACATAAGTCTATCTCGATGTCTTAAGACATCTATCATATAGATGATAGTCTATAAAATCGTGCACAGTGTGGAAAAAATTAACAGAAAAGTATTATTTACCTTTCCATACAATACAAATTCCAGGGGTCACCCAATGAAATTAATAGGCAGCAGGTTTAACACAAACAAGAGGAGGTACATTTTCATAAAACATACAACTAACCTATTGAACTCATTGCCGTGGGATGTTGTGATGGCCAAAAGCATAACCGGGTACAGAAAAGAACTGGGTAAGTTCATGGAGGATAGCTCTATCAATGGCTATTAGCCAAGACGGTTAGGGACGCAACCTCATTCTCGGGGTGACCCTAATCCTCTGACCATCAGAAGCCAGAAGTGGAAGACAGGGATGGATCACTCCATACTTGCCATGTTCTGTTCACTCCTGAAGCTCTGGTATAGACCACCTTTGGAGATGCTATATTGGGCAAGGCTGACCATGGTCTAACCCAATACGGCAGTTCTTGTTTTCGTAACTTCGATACTTGTGCATGCTTCATCAACCCACCAACATTTCTTTAGGCTTAGCTGTACCAAGTTGCAGCCAGCTAGCTCTTGTCAAAGCCCCAAGTTCATCTAGATATTGAGTTTGCGTCAGGCAGAGCCTTCAGGAACTGAATCAAAAACTAAAAGAAAAAAATCCAGTTTGATTTGAACCAAAGCCACTTTTATATATATATATATATACATAAGTTGAAGAACTAAAAAAGAAATTCATTTCAAATTGACCAAAATATTTCAGGTTGATGCAAAATTATTTTTTTCTTGGTTTCTTTTGAGTCAGCCCATCTATTTGTCAAAATTTTTTCACTCAGCACCACCCATTCTGGCTCTGGATTCCATACCAGAAAATCCTTTCTACTTGCTCAGTCATTGCTAAGAATGTATGGCCTTTCAGTTGAGAGCATGTCTTCTCTGCAATTGGAGCTTTAGAGAAGAAAGTAGATGATGTGTTGGTGAGCAACCATCTGTACTCATCCACTACCTCATAGGACAACAGCCTCAGTGGATGTGTCACTTTAAATGAGGGAGCAAAGTAGAGCTTCTTAGCCAAACCCATTGTTTAGAAGTTCACTAAAATGCTGTCATCTACTTTTCTCCTAGCCAAACATCTCAATAAATTCTCAGTAGATTTAGTTCTTAGTCTGAATCTGAGTCTGGATCTAGATTTGATGGTCTCAAGGCAAAACTCCCCTTGACTTCAATAGGGTAAGGCATTCACTCCTAGTGAGTGACTGTCCCTACCCCGAAATGCATAAATTCTACCTAAATTAGAGACAAAGTGTGGGAGGGGAAACTTGGGCAAAGAGAGATGAAGTGAATTGACCCAGGTCACACACCAGGTCTGCATGCAGTGCAGTGGTAGTCATGTCAGTCCCACAATATTGAGAGATCAGCTGAGAGAGGCAATATCTTTTATTGGACCAAATTTTGTTGGTGAGAGAGACAAGCTTTTGAGCTTGTCAGTGTCAGGAATAGAATCCAGATCTCCTTCCTTATCGGTCCAGTGCCCTGTCTACTGGACTATCTGCCACTTCTAAGTCCCTGGAGACTAGAACTCCTGAGTTTTCATCCTGGATCCTGCATTTACCCCCTCTGTAGCTTTGAGCAAGTCACTTAACCTGTGAAATGGGGGTACTATTTACTGACCTACCTCACATGGGTAAAGAGCCTGGAATTCGAAAAGCACTGTATAAATACTAAATACTGATATTACCATATGAAAAAACTGGAAATCCCCACGCACACCTCAAGTGCTACATACATTGATTTCTTTTCCCTGTGGGATTTTTTTTAATATGTCTTATGCAGGGTCCATTTATAAGCCCTCTCTGTAAGGCCTTCCTGTTGGTTTCTTATGTTTGTTTACTCATATAATTTTGTATTGCCTTTTGGGGGACAGAGGCTTGGAACTAACTAAAAATCTCTGGGACAAGTCTTGTTAAATGGATGGCTTTTGTGGTTTGTTTTGTTTTATTGTGCTAGAAAAATATGTCTCTTTTTTCTGAAAGTAGTTGTCATTTGTTCAATACACTTTGCCTCTTTCTCAAGGGCACACACTTTTCTGGCTGTGCCACAGAGGGGGAAGTATCAAAGCAGGAGAAGGCAGACTTTAAAAGGAGAACTGAATTTTTAAGTAACTTTTTAAAATAACTTAAGATCCCATCTCATAAGCAGAATGTGTGTAAACACAGTGTAGGCTAGTGAGTAGAGTAGGAAGCAGGCATCTGGGACTCCTCCTAGGTTTTAATAACCACCCTGCCAAATACACTTTCTGTGAGCTGGGACAAGTCACTTAAGGCCAAATAAAACCGAGGAGTACTTGTGGCACCTTAGAGACTAACAAATTTATTTGGGCTTAAGCTTTCGTGGGCTAAAACTCGCTTCATCGAATGCATGCAGTGGAAAATACGGTAGGAAGATATATAGACACACACAGAGAACATGAAAAAATGGGGGTTGCCATACCAACTGTAATGAGAGTAATCAATTAAGGTGAGCTATTATCAGCAGAAGAAAAAAAACTTTTGTAGTGATAATCAGGACGACCCATTTCCAACAGTTGACAAGAAGGTGTGAGTAACAGTAGGGGGAAAATTAGCATGGGGAAATAGTTTTACTTTGTGTAATGACCCATCCACTCCCAGTCTTTATTCAAGCCTAAGTTAATGGTGTCCAGTTTGCAAATTAATTCCAATTCTGCAGTTTCTCATTGGAGTCTGTTTTTGAAGTTTTTTTGTTGGAGGATTGCGACTTTTAGATCTGAAATTGAGTGACCAGGGAGGTTGAAGTGTTCTCTGACTGGTTTTTTGAATGTTATAATTCTTGATGTCTGATTTATGTCCATTTATTCTTTTGTGTAGAGATTGTCCGATTTGGCCAATGTACATGGCAGAGGGACATTGCTGGCCAAATGTGTCTGACCTTGTGCAAGTAAGGCTCCTTCCACCCTCTTACCTCCCACCTTGTGCCCATGTGCCGGGACTAGACACGATCCCATTGAATAGATGGAATTTCTAGTGCTTATATAAAGTTCCTTAATAACTCTGCCAACTTACCTGTCCTTACTTGTAACCAAGCCTTCTCATTCCACTTTTTATCACTGCAGGTGCAGAGGGCACCACTTGTATGTGTGGACACAGTTAATGTGTGTCTGTTTCTGTTCCCATGTGTAAAATGGGGATAATACCACCTTTCGTCTTTCTTGTCTGTTGAGATCAGAAGCTCTTCAGGGCAGGAACTGTCTCTTATTCTGTGTGAGTACAGTGTCTAACACAATAGGGCCAATCCGGGTGCTGCAGTGATACAAGTAATATAATAGCAATAAGAGCTTCATTTCTTTCATCTACATTTCTTCTTGTATTATCAATCAAATGAAATAAAATCAGGGAAGAGAGAGAACAAAACTAAAGGGTCAGATAATACACACCTGCTCCAGCTACTGTGAAAAGCACCTTCTGCCTAGTTGCTAATTATAGTTAGAGACTGAGTGGATTGTTTGCCTTGTCCCATACATGGTAAAAGCCTTGGCACTTTCTCAGAGCTGTAAGGAGCATGTCACATTTGCTCAGCCACCCAACCCCTTCTATAATTCCTCCCAACTTTGAAGTAAAGATGTCAACCCTTTCAGTAGGCTCACCTCAGCCAGCTGTTCAGGAGCCTTCTCCTTTCCTTTGATCTGCTGATGTTACAAGTTGTACACAGGTTGTACGCTGCTTTTTCAGATGTCCTTTCCAAATATCCAACTGTCTACTCTCCATCTCTATCTTGCACTGAAATCAAATGTTCATTAATAATTCTTCATTAGCTGTATGGTTGTCATGACTGGTAATTAAAAGATACATGGTAGGAGGGAAGAAAAGTCCTGCTCCATTTTATGTTGTGTGATACCAGTATGATTGTGTTATTAAAGGCATGTCAAGGGCCCCAAGAGCTTTGGCTGAGTGCCTTTTGGTGTGGAGTTCCTTTTAGACTGAAATGGAACTAAATGAAATCCAAATATCCATTTCCTTTTAGGTGATAACATTTCAAGCTCATATCCATTCCCTGCCCCCCCCCAGCCCTTCTCTACCTCCCTTTGGCCCCTGTGAACCTCTGGGACATGTCATTTATTCTTTACATTATGGCAGTACCTAAATGCCCTGTAACAGCATGGTGTGTCCTCATTAAGAGAGAGTGGAACTCAGGGCCAGTCAACCCCTGTTTCATGACATGGCCCCTTTAAGGAAACAGGTGTTCAAGGGAACAGCAGACAAACTGGGGACTAGGGGACTGGTGTTAATCAGGGAGCTGCTTCTTGAACATGATAAAGCCCAGAGGTTAGCTGATGCTAGGAAGAGGTGAGAGAGGGCAGATAGCCTGAAGAACGCTGAGTTGGGAACACTGAGTCAGCTAGGCTCCCTGGGGTGGGAATGAAAGGGATGGGGAAGCCTGCCTGAACTGTAGCATAGCCCTAGAAGGAGGGGTGTGAGGGCCCTGAACCAAGGGGAAGACGTGTGTTAGACAAAGGGCACATCCATGTAGTGGGGCTGGAACCTAGATCCTGGTGAGCTGGGGAAGCCTGCATAACCCCATCAAGAAAAGGGCTCTGGAATTCCTTAACCTGTATTTTGATTCCCCTTGACAAGTAGGGCAGATCACTTGAAGTACATACTTCTGAATCAGATTGATTTTTCTGAAAGAAAATACTACTTTGGATCTGTGACAAATCAGAAAACAAGGGAAACTGAAGTAAGTAAGTATAAATACAGCATATCTTACCACATAGTCATGTGTCCTTCTATCCGTTGAGAAGAAGGTACGTTGACTGGTACATATTCTATATTTCTAAAAATTACACTTGAGAGCCCAGGGACCAGGGCATAAGGATGCCAGCAAGAAAGTCTCTTCAGAGAGGCCAGGGGCTGTCCTGGGACTGGGAGAGCTTCCTTGTTCAGAGGAACTGTATGGGTACTGTGCGCCTGAAGCCTTGGAACAACAGTGAACTGGAATCCCCAAGAGGGAAGAGTTTGGGTCTGAGGGGCCAAAGGGGGACTCTATTTTTATAATTAGATCCCTAGAAAAGGAATATACTTTCGGGCACAAGTAAGTTATTGGGAGGGACCTGAGCCATTCCATGAGGGGGCACACAGCATATGGTGCCCTGCCACAGGCCCCAGCCAAAATCAGGGACCCATTTCACTAGACCCTGTGCAGTTGCTCTTTAAGAGACATTAAAATGCTCATTAAGCCCTGGGGAGCTTACAATTTAAACGGGCAAAGGGTGGGAGTGGAAAGGGGTGAAGTGACGTGACTGCACAGCAGGTCAGTGCGGAGGAAGGAAGAGAACCTAGCTCTCGCTTCCCAGTCCACTGCCTTATTGATAGACACTGTCTCTCCTGTATCCTGTCCATAGTCATTCAAGAGCCCGGCTAACACAGTGAGGCACAACGGAGTGCGATTAGAACAAAACGGAACTTATATTTATGAATAAACACGTTAGCATAATAGAGGTCACACCATCTTTCCTATATGGCTGAGTGAGCCAATTAGCTTGGTGTAGTACGTAGCTATCTGATCTTTTAGAGGTTAGTATAATAGTCTTTATAATAGTCTTCTTATTAAATATAGATGAGCCAAAAACAAGGGTTAATTTGGTAAATACTGAGTTGGCTATATGGTTACAAACACAAAATGTTCTAATTTTGCTTCGGAACAATGGTAGCAATTATTCCAGCAATTAGTGTAAAATCAGCTATCTGGCATATTTAATTAGCTGGTTTCTTGCAGTAACAGCATTTGTTTGTGCTGTTTAAATATATGAAAACATACAGAAATGTTCTCCAAATATTTTCCTTCAAATGTACTGAATGGTATGTTTAAATCCTCTGTAACATACACATTGCTAGATTTTTAATCTTCTGGATATACACGTACAAAGGGATATACCATGGAAAGTCATTTTTATTTCCTAAGCACAATATTTCTTACAAGCTTCCCTTCCATTCCCCAAAGGATCAGGCATTTTAACAACTGTTGAATCTCTCCATCTGACTGTTATCTGAAGTGTAACAGATTGTATTTTGGATCGTGGCAGGTTCACTTCATAAGATGATGGGTATATGTGGTGGTTGGGGAGCGAGGGTATGTGTATAAATTTTGAATAGCTGACTGCCTTTAGGGAACCCTGCAGGGCTGTGACAGTCAGCGTGGCTGGCGGTAGAGTTTATCGGTCTGCATCAGATTTTTTGAGCCAAACTAATCGTTAGATAATTGTAATTTCTGACTGTCTGCATAACTGCTTCCTGTTGAGGGAAAGAAATGAGAGTTACAGTGTAAGGTTAGTGTAGGAGAAAACACCCAATTAACATACTGGCAAAAGGCACAGCTACAGAAGAACCATATTGTAAGGGGGAAAGGAATGTTTAAGGTGTGGCCCATGCTTTAAATAGACTGTACAGAAATAGTGCCTTCTCACTCAACAGCTCTTCTCGCAGTGTCCATTTAGGGGCAGGTCTGCTCCCTCTGCATTCAAAACCAGATTTATCCCCTTGGGTGACAAAGCTAAGTTTTTAGTACTGCAGAGCCAATGCAACTGGGAGAGACTGAGATTAATTCCTTTCTGGTAAATGTGATATGGAAAACATGGAGATGTTAAATACGAAACCCCGAGATGCCATTTGGGCACGGTATCTTTTCAGAGTCCTATTTGTTCATGGACTGGCCTACCTGGGCTACTTTGAATCTAGCTAGTGTGGGTAACAATAGCCGTGAAGACAGTGCAACATGGACTCCAGCACTGGTAGTACAAGCCTGGCACGGACCATAGGTACGTGCTCAGCCCACTAGCCTGTTCTGAAGCCCACGCTGCTCTGTCTTTGCTCATAGTGTTACACATGCAAGCTGAATTCAAGCGAGGGTGGGTAGACCAGCCCGTGCACATCTTTTGCTGTGTAGGCCTAACACATTATTCAGTTTTGGGGTAAGGAGAAGTTCTGCTTTGGTGAAGCTTGGGAGCTTTGCTATGCTAAAGCTTTGTGAAAGACTGGGCTGCAGACCCAGTTATGTTGGAGGACAGAGGAAAAATCAGTACCTACTTGAAGAGCTTCCAACCCCTCAAATCTCCCCACCCCAGCTCTGTAGAGTGAATTCCCAGTCCTATGCAGGCAACACATTTCCCTGACTGTTAAAATACAGTAGTGTAGCAAGCTGCTGTGTGTTTGGGGAAGGCTATATTGGCAAAAATCTACAAGTAACTGCTACATCACTGTCTGGTGAAGTGCTGTGGTGCCCATGTGGGTCACTGCACTGAAGATTTAACCTTACACACTGCACCTAAATAAGCTTTGGTGAGATTATATTTTTTAATTAAATATTTTTAATTAAAGCAAAAGTCTGTAGTCACACAACAGTATGAGCTTGTTTGTACCAGGTAATATATCGTAAGAACATAAGAATGGCCATACTGGATCACACCAATGGGCCATCTAGCCCAGTATCCTGCCTTCCGACAGTGGTCAATGCCAGATGCTTCAGAGAGAATGAACAGAACAGGTAATCATCAAGTGATCCATCCCCTGTCGCCCATTCCCAACTTCTGGCAAACATCAAAATATTTGTCATTATTTGAAGAATGGACCGATCTGAGAAGTTTTTCTTTTTCATGAAGTTATGCTGGCACAACCCAATGCCCCCCTCCCCTTATGGAGTCCCCTGGGAAGGTAGATCAGCACTGTATATTGCTAATGCTATTGCAAGCATCATGAAGTATTTTGGGAAGGGCTAAAGGTTTGTGAGTGGAGAGTGGAAGATTCATTTGCAGGAGTACAAGAGGCCGAGGGGGGGGCGGTGGGAAAGAAGAAAGCAGAGAATGGGTTAATTCAGCACTGCAGCTTGCAGGCTCAGTCTGAAGATAAGAAGCTAATTCCAACCCAAGGCCAGCTGCTACCTTCTGCCAAGACAGAAGAGGGGAAGTCCAACCCCTCCCCACCCCCCACCCCAACCAGCCCTGTAAAAAGAAGAACTAAGTGGAACAAAGCTGCAGAGAGAACAGTGAGAGCGAATGAAACAACAACAGCAAAGGCAAAAACAGAAGGGAAAACAGTCTCCGGAGCCGGGATGTTTTGGGAAACTGGGAAGGCCACAGCAAGCCTGTTTGGACTGGTACAAAGAGCACCAGGAACAGAAGGCCCTGGATGAAAACACCCCCAAAGGAACCCAGGACTTATAACCCTCCCGAGAGTCAAAGCAAGTTGGAGAGCACAGCAGATCCTTGGACGGCCTGGACCCAGGACAGCACTCCCATCCACCTTCCCCACCCTCTCCCCCCTTCTTCTGATGTTACACCCAGACTTGGCCAGTCTGGGTCGTGCGTGTGTATGAAAGTGGGTTAGGGATTGGGGCATTAACGCTTTCTTTCTTCCCCTGAGTGACATGGGAGCGTTCCCAGCACTCTCTGCTATTTTATTATTTTATCAATAGAGCTTTAAAATGTAGACACTTAGTGTGCCTCATCATCTCCTCCCCAAAAAAGATCCTGTGGCCCCAGCCTGATCAACTGTGGCCCAGGCAGATTGGTAATGAAAATCTGTCACAATGCAACTAAGATCCTTAACCCCTAATTATAAAATGTTTTTTATGTTTAAAATGCTCTGGCAAACTTCATGAACAATTCCCAATCACTCCAGCAGCTCATGGACATTTAAATTTCCCAAGGGAAAAAACTATTCAGATACACTTCTGTTCTGGAAAAACTATGGAATGGGTTTCTCCCAACTACTGATGGATTACATGGTAGCAAAGAGAGACAAAAACAAGTCCGTGGAGCATGAGACATTTGCAGAGATTATTCCATTTGACTTCCCGTATGGTCATGTGAATTGTATAAATGTAGCAGAAGATGGATAAAAATCATGCTCTAGCTGATGGTCAAGGAGTAGTATACTGAATTGCCAGACCCTTCGGTGGTGTACGGCATGATGTGGCCATCAAGCAATTTCTGAACAAGGACTGTGAGACTCATCAACATCTTTGCATGAAAGCTAAACCTCTGACCAAGTATTACCAGACTGCACATTTTAAACCAGCTGTAACAGCTTTGACTTAACAAACGTGCAGAATGCAGCCTTCAGTACCAAAGAAGCTACCTCAAAGTGCATTGCTGCAGATGAAACTCCTATCCAAGAGATCGTAAAAGCTGAGACTAAAAGAATGACAAATCCTTTTAGCATTGAACCTGGAACAATCCCAGACAACAGAATGCCACTTGCAGACACTGCATCATCTACTGTGACCACACCTGAAATTGCAGAAAGTTTGTACATAAGAGAGAATGGCACACAAGAAATGAAGTAGTTCTTAACCAGTAGGCTGCAAAGGGGTGAGGGAGAGGGTCTTTGATTCCATAAAAAGGCATAATCTCAAATCATTTGGAAATCTCAACAAAATGATCAAACAAAAGTTGAAGTAGACAGCACAAGAAATAACTACTGATCGCTAGCTATTCAGCAAGCTGACAGTTATTTCCCAGTGCTGAGAGGTTGACAGCCAAGGTCTGATAAAATATAAGTTGGCACCTTTCCCTTTTCAACTTGAATGGATCTCTAAGAAAGACTCAAAAAAGCAACACAGTCTTAGCAGGAGAAAAATCTGTCAATGTTTGAGCTACCACCATCCAGTGAGCCAACATTAGCTATTATTGGCCTCAAGATCTTCTGCAGATGATGTGCACTAATAGTGTAATATGTAAAACTTTTGGGGAGCTATCCAATCAGCTGCTGACCATTATCCTTGGACTAAAATGTCAATACACTTCTGTTGGGTGGTGACAATTATGCCAATGATGAATCAATCAAATCTAGTGAGAGAGCCTGCATTGTCCAAATGCAAGAAGTTCAGAACCCCACTTTGTTTATGTCATATCAAAGCAATGCTTTAAGATATCAAATTCAAAGAATAAACCAAACATTGCAAACTTTCTCCTCAGTGACTGGGTCATGGAGTGTGAATGGAGATTGTCACCTCATCATGAAGTATACCTTGCTGTTGGCTTTCGTGACACTGCATGAGCAGTGAAAATAGTGCCTGGCAACCATTCTGCAATAGGAGAACTTGAGGCAGTTCACGAGGAAGCAGATTCATGCATGTTTTTGCATGTTCACGCAAAGCAAACTGTCAGAATAAACAGGGTGCTAATGTGGAGATTGGACTCAGGTGTTGCATCTATGTGCCCAAGATATTTCTCTGTTTCTGGGGTAACTATCTATTTAAAAGAGGTTTTGGCCAAAAGAAGAGATTCATTCCCATGCATGGAGTGGCTACAGAGCTAAGAACGGACATGTGTCTTATTCTGCCAAACATTCATGCAGTCAATGGCTCTGACTCCAGTTCAGCTTTCAGTGGCATGGGAAAAACGATGACTGAAGACAGCAGATGAACACCCAGAGCTAATGGAGGGTTTGAAGCATCTTGGGAGCAGTGCATCTCAGATTAATTCTGTCTATTCCTCTCTCTGTCTCACTGGTATCTTTATTATACTGTGGTAAGAAACACACATCTCTGGATAATGTGTACTATGAGTTGTTTGCTAAGAAAAACAAAACAAGTGAGAAACTGCCATCGACAATGGACTCCTTCAGGCAGTACCTGAAACGTGCAAATTATCAGTCATACATATAGACTCGTGCAACAGTTCAGTATTTTCAAGTGTCCCCTGTCAACAACGGATGGGTGGTACATAGCCCAGGGCATCTTGTTCCTAAAATAATGGTGCTACCACCTGTTCCAGAAGCCATCCCCACCTCTGTGCGGTGTGGTGCTGTGAGTACCTGTGCAACAAGGAGATGCAAATGTCACAGGGAAGATTTGGTGTATTCTGATGCATGCAGTTGTGACAGTGACAAGTATAGCAACAGAGAACTGTACTCATGAGACACAGGTTCAGAGGGCGAGTAGAAATGTTTCAACTATCTGCAAATTACTGTGATATTTTTGTGAGTAAACACAGCTTGAAGAGGTGTTGCATTAGACATTCAGTAGCTCGTAGTTATATGTAGGGGTTGTGAAACCAGGGGCTACTACCCCTGATTGGATCTGTAATGGCTCCCAGAAGAGCAGATTACTGTCATACCAGTGAAAAAGGTCCACAGTAATTAACTTGCATACAATGCAGTTTATTTAAGAAGGAATTACACAAATAGTAAAGGGTTACATTAAGCACATAACTCCTATGTTAGACATTAAAGGACTACACAGTAAGCTATATGTAAGCTGGGGAATAGTCCCGCTATTGTGGGGAACTTTCCTGGCTTCTGCACTACCCCAGTGAAGTGGGCTAGCGAAAGGATCTGAGTCCTCGCTCCCACTTCCTTTACCCAGTGGCCTTCCTGCCCTTGAGGACTCCCCTTCCACTCTCCTGTCTGGCAGAGTATTCGTAACCCCAACAAGGCTGGGCCCAGGATTCCTGGGGGGCTCGACCCACAACCCTGCTGTGGTCACCTAGGACAGGGGCTAGGGTGTCCCCA